ACAGCGAGGATTTTCGATCGTGCTATCTGTAGGGCTTCGTCACTTAATCGTATGCCTGCAGGTGGTTGCGTGTTGAAAGCGTCGAAGTTGAAGAAGCCAGGATGGAGTCCTTGTCTGCAGAGGTTGGTTGTGTTTCAGTGGTTTGGCGAGTGGTGCTCGATACGTCGATCTTGAGAGATTGAAGTCCATCTTCTAGAGTTGTCATTCATTGGAGTGATTTTCTGATGAGTCCAGTGGGTATGGATGTCATTGCCACCAGATTCTGAGTGTTTGCAAGTGCTTCGGGAGGAGGGCTTCCTTGCCCCCGTGATCTCGAGCCTGGGGCCATTTTGTGGCGGGAGCGAGTTATCAGCGCCACAAATAACTGAATTTGAAAGTGATCCAAGAGTTTCGTGCGTAGAATCCTGATAGACTCTATTTACCATGAACCGATCCAATAAAGTCCGTAGGATCTTCATGATTGAACTACAGTCGTGCGTTTTGCGGAAGCGTGTGGTTTATGGATGAGCTTTGTCAGAGTGAATGTAACTTAATAGTATTATTATAGCTAAGGGATACAAGGTTCATATAGTGATGCAAGAGAATGCGAAGTGTCTAACTAAGATGCACTTAACAGGAGTGCATTCCTTATGAGGTTCCAGATCCGTCTCGGGAAACACACGACTCGGGTAATTGCCTGGGCTGTACTACAGGGTCAGTTATGTGTCCTTGTTGTCGTGACAGACCCTTGGACTTGTGTCTGTTCGACTGTCGGTCAGCGGTCAACGACTGTTGCACTCGTGCTTCGCGTCATAAGCTTGGACTCGACAGGGGTTACAGCTCGAGTGTAACTTTCAGGAATGCAACCAATTCCTTATCGTAACACTTACTAAAACCCAGGATAAGGAAATACCATTTCCTTACATGAAATGCATACAAACGAGTTTGAAACTTGGCGGGTTACCTGGTTGATGGCTCCGGAGCACCGGGGGGGGGGGGGGGAGATGGAGGTGTCCGAAGTAGAGCGTATGGTTTTGGGACGTCGTTGAACCAAGACTTTGTACTTTCTAACCGTTCTAAAAACAAAAAATACCATACTGTACCTTCCTGTGACGTCCTGGGACGTCACAATTTGTTATACTTCGGGCACCCCCTAAATCCACGGGGCCTGGCATGCGTTTCAAATGGTATAAGCCCTAATATCGCACGTGCCTGGTTGAGATGAGGTTTTATGCCATACAAAAAGCATGCGGGACCCGCTGGATTTTAGGTTTCTTCTTCTTCTTCTTCTTCTTCTTCTTCTTCTTCTTCTTCTTCTTCTTCTTCTTCTTCTTCTTCTTCTTCTTCTTCTTGCCCACGGTCAGGATGAACAGTGAGAGTTTGAAACTGTGTCCAAACCGGAGCCAACTTACTGCGATGTACATGTCATATGCGAGAGACTCCCAAAATGCGGTCAATCAGATCTGGCGTATAGCGAATATGGGTCGTATGCTAGGGGCAAGCGGGGCAATGGAGTTTCCAAGGACATTGGAGGTTTGTTTTTTGTGTTTTTTTCACCGCTGGTGGCGTTGGCGGTTTTGGCGACGACTAGTCGGAAGCTACGTCGCATGCGTGTCAAGCCTGGGCTCATCTAGGGTTTCACGCATGCGCAAGATTTGTTGCTCACAAGACAAAACATCGCAACCAAGTGTCAGATCCACACACTTGATCCGACTAAGATATGACCCGATTTGAGGACAGGAGAACACGCGAAAACAAGCCGTTGAACAAGCAAAGATGCGAGTACACTAACATATGATAAAACACGAAGTACGTGTCTTCGCAATTGCACCAACAGAGAACTGGAATGCCACACTAAGTAGAGCGAGGCGACGCAGATGACGGAGGAGTCAACATAGCGGATGGAGAAGAATAAGGTGAGGTTAATCTCCACGCACGCGCTCTGGTTGCCGTAACACAGAGAGCCAGCACATCACTCCTAACCTTGCGCGCCCTCGGGAACCATCCACGCGCTTTCGTCATGAAAGCTATTCATGACCGCCATCGCCTGCAGAATGTGCTGGCGGTACTTTTCCATTGCCGCGCCAGGTGTGGGGCGCCAATCTGATCGACTTCGCATAGCCGATCAGCATATCGGTCACCATGCGCGACAAATGGCGGCTATTGCAAAGGTCGTTGTCGGGAGGTGAGAGTGGGACAGGGTTCGTGTACCATACGTAGCGCACTGGCATGCCAAGTGGCTTGAGCGCCAATGGGTCGGCTCCGCCCAGCTCGAAAGTCTCAGCATCCGCGTCGGCTGTCATGTATCGAATGGCCGACGGCATGTCGTCCGGCGTGAAAGGGGGACGATCCATGCAATTGAGCACCGGAGAGAACTCCGCTTTGAGATTATGCTCTTGTTCGGCGAGAGTGGCGCCGATGAAGGTAAGGAGGGGCGCCCATCTCATGGGGAGCATGCGGGTGTGCCAGAAGCACTTCCATATAGTGCTGATCTTGATCTCGAGGAGGGAGTCTGAGATCCATCGCACCACCAGCACCATGCCAGGCTTGTTGCGCATGACCTCAGGGACGCACAGTCGGTTCTCCCACTTCGCAACGATCCACCGCAGAAGCTCGCCCTTGTAATAGGCCTTCAAGGTGGAGAAAATCCCCTGGTCAAAGGGTTGGGTGTAGCAGGTGGCGTTGGCAGGTGGACAAGGCGCACGTGGGAGACCGCGCGGGTGCGGAAGCCGCAGATATCGGCTGAGGTGGCGAGCGGGGATAGAAGGATCTGACTGCTAGCGTTGTCGAGCATGAAGACAATGTGCCTTTCTTCTGCGAAGCAGCACGCATTGACGTTCTCGATGAAAACAGTTAATACCTGCGGTGCAGACGGGGAGGGGGGGAGGTTAGATCAGGAGTAGCAATAGTGTAGGCGAAGCACAAGACGCGCGGAGCACATGGCAAAGGGGGGGGTTGAACGACTTTGAGGGTACGACGCGTGCTAAGATCTTACCGGGGAGGTCATCCAGTCGTTCTTGTTAGCACGCTAGTAGCAATACTGCGATGGATCGAAGCTCTGCTTCGCAAAGCACTGCGGGTGTTCGTGCTTGTGAATAATAAGCGGCTCGAGAGCCATCTGCATTCAGTAGGACCGCGACCGTGAGCTGATCTTTTGTCGTCTTCGATCCTGGTGATGGCGTGTCGTCGAATGAGAAGGCGGGAAGCATGGAGTAAAACACCGCAGTCCATACGAAATTGAAGAGGTTCTTGGGTAGGATCCCGAGACACTCGCATGGCTACGGGAAGTGCGCATTTGCCGTTAATTCCGCCCTCATGTCGGATGTTTTTGCCTCGCCGCACTGCTTGCGCCACTTAAAACCCATTCGGCAAAGCGCCTTCTGCACCCATCCGACGCTCGCTTTGAAGTCGGGATGAACGTCGCACTCCGGCACCAGGCGCAGGGCCTTCACTTGGATGAGGGCGATCGATACGAGCACACCCGCCTTGTTTGCCGCTTTTAGCCAAGTTCGCGGGCTGTATTCTAACTTGGGCCAAAACGCATTTCGAAGCCTCTTGAACTTCCTGCTTTCTGGACCCAACGTGTGCCACCTCGCCTTGTCCTTCACAATTCGCCCCACGGTGTTGCGGTCAGGCAGGAGGCCGTATCTAGTGTGACACCACCTAGCGAGGTCACCCAACCGCAAATGGTCAAACTTCTCAGCATGCTAGCTCAGGGCAATCTTCAGCCCAATCGTGAGCGAGGTGCATTGACCCGGCCTCATTGCGCGACCCCGAAGATGACATACGCACGCTTGACCCTGATGATTGTGCACTTGTGTGGATGGGGGTTAATATGCTTACGTTTGGCGCATAGGTGGATGGGGAAACGAGCGGGAATGCAACAGACACAACCCATGTGGCGGGAGTGTATTGGCTGTCACGTGACGGAGGCGATCCAGAATTATAACGGATTCCGTCAAGCAATTTGGCTACGTATGACAAGTCCGACTGCGTGTTCTGGTGATTAGGTGGATCGTGGGCGATGTATTGGTTGGCGATTCACCGACGAGCGGATTTGTCGGGTGGCGCTAGCTAATCGGGTCTGTCGCAGCTGCATTGCAGAAATCCCATTGTGTGTGGTTTGCCGGTGCTCTGCTTAAAGCGAGGGTCTCAAGAAGCAAAAAACCAAACCCAAAGGTTTTGGTTTCGGGGGGTCTCGAAAATTGCGAGGTGTGGTAAGGGGTGCGGGTTGGGCGCTGTAACTGTTTCGCAAAGTTCGTCAACCCAAAACCAAAACCTTTGGATTTGGTTTTCTGCTTCTTGAGACCCTCGCTTTAACTGTAATGAATACTGCTTAATTGACATGCGTACTGGGGGAGTATATTATAGTAGACTCTAAGTATAAAATGCTTATGGTGTAGCACAGGGCATCTATTGTCATTGCGATGAACGCATATGATCTGTACTGGAATCAACGGGCACAGAATTCGTGGGTGGTTTGTTCCCAGGTACTGTACGCATTGACTTCCAGCCAATGGTGTCTCTTGAAGCCTTGAGCTTGATGCCAGAAAACTCAAATCAAGCTTCCAGCTGCCCGGAAAAGCGAATGGTAGGACATCAATGGCGAAAGGACAAGTCGTGCGTCGGGGTAAGGTCCCACGATGACTATCCAGGGAGTGTTTTGTTGTAGGGATTCAGCATCTTGTTTCAGAGGTCAGCTTCCTGCGTATTGTTCACGCATCGAGTTTAAAAACCTGAGGGAGCGATGTCGCACAGGATACAGTACACGACTTCTTTTTGTCGCAAAAACGGAATTGCAGCTGATCATATTTCCCGTGAGGCGAACTCAGATCGAGCTCTGAGATGTACTTTTGTTAAAAGTTATGTTCTAAGTGCGCTTTCAGCGGTCCGACAGCAGCACTGCAGCTTTCCTTCCAGCCACCTACCGTTGCCTTGTGGTGCAGCAATGGCTGGCATGCCAAGACTCCCCACAGGAATCCCATGAGTACAGTTCACTTCAGTTACTTCTGCAGCATTTGTAGTATCAACGGCCATGGTGGATTCTGTGTCAGGCTAGGCTGCGTTAGTGTGCGAATCAGCGAAAATGTCTGTAGGCGATGGTAGTAGTGGTCCCGCTTTGCACGGAGGAGTTGACCATCCCGCTCGCTCCGTGCGTGCGTGCATGTTAGCCTAACCGAGTTAGGAAATGTCACCAGCAACCTCTCGAGCGATGTGTTCGTCGTGTCGCTGCTTCTCGGCGCAACAACTCATAGTGACACGACCATCATCGCATGTCCGGTTCCTTAGCAGCGATTCTCATCGATTCCTCAGCGACTCCTCAGCGATTCCTCAGCGATTCCTTAGCGAATTTTCCGCGCGTCGCCTAAAATTATCTGTTGTATCGTAGGGCGCGTCGTTTAAGAAATCCAGCTTCATCTTAGGACGAATTACGTAAGACTCGTTCCAGAAATGGCTGAATCTGGAGCCTGCGATTCTGATTCTTCAGGGTCGCCGATCTCAGTTTCATCTTAGAACGCGTTCTCAAAAGCGCTTGGCTCTCCTCTCCACTTTGCCCAATTTCACCTCAGTGGCCATCAGTACAGAGCCAGTCATTAGCAAAGAGCCATCTTCTTACAGTAACATTGTAGGGTGTTCTTGAGAATTCTCAAAAACACCCTGCAAATTCTCAAAAACACCCTGCAAAATCGTAACACGCGATGACGGGAACGATCAAGAAGCACCTCAAGAAGGCTCACAACAGGGACAGGTCCATCCCTAGCACCCCGCGCCTCGATGCCAGCACTCCACGCTCCACTGCCAGCACGCCACGTGTCGGCTTCAGCACGCCACGTGGAACCGCCGATGAGCGTTCCTTATCCGAAACCGGTCGCGCGATCGGACCGTCCTTAGGCCCTTCGCGCTCCTTCAGAGACGGCTCGGCTCTAATGAACGGTCGAGATGCATCCGCGGGAGCCCTGACCCCCGGGCCGGGACCGTTCTTAACCGCATCCCGCTCCATGAACGCGCGGGAAGGGGGGCTGGCCTTCCCCGGGCCTTCCCCGCGCCCCCCGATCCCCGGGGGATCTGCGCCGAGCCCTCTGTCTGGCGGAGGATTCGGCGGAGTGTTCGGCGGGGGGGGAGGCGGCGGAGGGGATATGGCGGAAGCGGTTGAGTTGCGGAAGGAACTGGCGGAGCAGTCGGAGGAAATGGATCGGCTTTTAACTAAGAACGAGGAGCTGGTAAGTGTGAAAATCAGACGGTAAGAGTGTCAAAGCCTCCGCTGACTGACGCTTAGATCTGGCTTCAAAGAACTAGGATGTTGGAGCGTGTGTTAACGAACTCAACGAACATCAACGAACATTAACGAACATCAACGACCGTGCGGCTCTGTTCGTCCTGAAGTTGCGCGTGAGTAGATTTTCAAGGCTCCTGAAAAAGGCTCCTCACTCACTCGTGCGTTAACGTAATCTATTAGGGTTACGGTGTTATGTTACGGCTGGCATCGAGTCAAGCCTACTTTCCCACTTTCCCTTTTATGGTGCTCCGTTCTTTCTCACTCACTCACTCACTCACGCTCCAACTTCGGCTCTTCCAATTCCATCTTGCCACACCCCACCCTAACCCTTTCTCCGCATCCTCCTTCTAAGAAATAGCCTCTCTTTGGTCGGTCTGTGCATTTATTTGCATCAGGGGGAGCAGCTCCGCGAATCCTTAACCCCAATCCTCATGAAATTTCCCTTTCCTTGGTCTTTGCGTCTGGAATTGCGTGGGGGGTGTTTTTGGGAATTCTCAAAAACACCCTGGTCTGTGCATCTGAAATTGCGTGCGAATCCTTACCCCCCATCCTTTCCCTTTTTGGCCTGCGTATTGCACCAGGGGGGGGCGGGCAGCTCCCCGAATCTTTAACCCCCCCCCGTCCTCATAATTTCCACCTCTCCTTGATCTGCGTATCTGAAATTGCGTTCCCTATTGGTCTGGCTCGTGTTGCATCAGGAGGAGCAGCTCCGCGAATCGCGGCGAGAGGCAGCAGAGGCCAGCAGCCGCGCCACTGCCGCCGCGTCTCACGCTGAGTCCCTTCAAGCCAAACTGGACGCGGCCGCAACTCATTCCGCATCTCACGCCGCGTCTGACAGCGCAGCTGACGGCGCATCTGACGGCGCGAATGGCGCTGAGGCCCTCCAGAGGAAGTTGGACGAGGCGAACGCGGCGCGGGCGGAGCTGGAGGAGCGATTAATCTCCATTAGTGCGGAGAAGGAGGAGCTGGAGAGGAGATTAATCGCCACGAGCGCGAAACGGGAGAAATTGGAGGGGCAGGTGGAGGATTTGGAGGGCAGGGGGAAATATTTAGAGGGGAAAGCGGCTGCTGCGGAACGGGCAGCAGAAGAATTGGCGCATCAGGTGGAGTTGCTGGAGAGTAAAGTGAGTGAGGGAGGAGGGGAGGGAGGAGGGGGAGGGGGGGGAGGGGGAGAGTGGGAGGAGAAGGTGAGGAGGCTTGAGAGGGAACTGGAGCAGATGGGGAGGGAGAGAGAGGCGGTGGTGAGAGAGAGGGAGGAGATTGGAGGGGAGAGGGAGAGGCTGCTGAGAGAAAGAGAGGAGATGGAGAGGAGGTTGAGGGGGTTAGAGAAGGAGGTTCGGACGAAAGGAGGTGCTGCTGGGGGCGGTGATGCAATTAATGAAAGTGACTTAAACGAAGGGAAAAGCAAGGGAGATGGTTTGAGAGGGGAGGAGGGTGCGGGAGATGTGACTAAAGCGAAGGAGGATCTCGAGGCGAAGCTGGCAGCTGTGATTCTAGAGAAGGAGGAGCTGGAGGAGAAACTACAAGCAGCAGAGGCGGAGCGGGACGACTTGATTATAGAGCACGAGGAGTTAGTAGCCACTATGGAGGAGGCAGGCGGGCGGATGCAGGCTTTAATCCGCGAGAAGAAAGAGCTGGAGGGAAGGCTGGGAGCAGCACAGGGTAAGAGCCAGGTGCGACGACCGTGGGAGATGGAGGGGGACGAGGAGGAGGAGGAGGAGGAGGAGGTAGGGGGAGGGGGGGTGGGAGGAGGCATGGGAGTGGGAGTGGGAGGAGGAATGGGAGGGGGAGGAGGGCAGGATAGTAGTCGGTATTTGCAAGAAAGGGTGTTGGAATTAGAGGCGATTTTAGCGGAAGCGAAGAGAGGGAGGGAGGAGATGGGGCGGAGGCTGGCTGCTGCTGAGGCTTTGGTGGAGGATGAGAGGGAGAGGGTGGGAGGGGAACTCAGGTTGCTTGATCAGGAATTGGAAAAGGCGCTAGGGTTGCTGGGGGAGAGGGAGAGAGAGATGGAGGGGTTGGAGGAGAGAGTGAGGGAGAAAGAGGAGGAGGTGGGGAGGGCAGTGAGGGAGAGAGAGGAGGAGGTGGGGAGGCTGGAAGGGATGGTGAGAGAGAGGGAGGAGGAGGTGGAGAGAGTGAGGAGAGAGAGGGAGAAAGATTTGGAGGATGCTAGGAGGAAACAGAGGAGAGAGTGAGAGAGGCGGAGGAGAGAGTGAGGGAGGCGGAGGAGAGAGTGAGGGAGGAGAGTGAGAGAGTGAAAGAAGCAAGAGGAAGAGTAGATGAGCTGGAGATTGAGCTCAAAGCAGCAGAAGAGAGACTGCGAGAGGGTGAAAAGAGGGCGGAGGAATCTGACTTGAATGCTGTTGAGGAGCGGAAGAGGCTGCAGGAAGCAGAGTCTGCGATGGGTGTGCTTCAAACGGAAGTGACAGAAGCGAGGGCTCAGATCGAGAGGCTGGGGACTCTGAGAGACGAGCTAGAGGAGAGGGTGAGAGGACTGGAGGGGGAGAAAGAGGGCTCCGAAAAGGAGGTTGCTGGGTTGAGGGAGATTGTACGGGGTTTGGAGGAGGAAAAGCGAGAATCGGAGGAGGAGAGGAGAAGGTTGGAGGTGGAGGTGGGGGGTTTAGAAGAGAGGAGGGCGGAACTGGAAGCGGATTTGGAGGAGGAAAGGGAGGGAAGGAGGAGGGTGGAAGAGGAGGGGCAAAGAGAAGCTGAGGAGCTGAGACGGGCTGTGGAGGACGGGGAGAGTAGACTGGCGTCTAGAGTGAGTGAGTTAGAAGTGGCTTTAGAGAGAGAAAGGGCGAGTAGGGTTGAGGTGGAGGCAGGGAGGGAGGAGGAGAGGGTGAGGAGGGAGGAGGTGGAAGAGAGGTGGAGAGAGGAGGAGAGGAGGAGAGGGGAGGTTGAGGGGGAGTTGAGAGAGGCGAGTGTGAGGAGGAGGGAGGTGGAGGAGAGAAGGGAGGAGTTGGAGAGAGTGAGAAGGGAGCTGGAGAGGAGAGTGGAAGAGATAGAGAGGGAGAAGGAGGAGGGGGAGAGGAGGAGGGAGGAAGGGGAGGAGAGGAGGAGGGAATTGGAGGAGAGACTGACCGAGATGGAGGAGAGACTTGAGGAGGCAATGGCAGTGAGGAGGGACGTGGAGGGAAGATTGGAAGAGGAGGAATGTCGGAGAAGGGAGGTGGAGGCTCGGATAGAGGGGCTCGGGAGGGAGAGGGAGGGGGAGGTGGATTCTAGGGTTTGTGAGTTGGAGACGGAAAAGAGGGAGCTAGAGGCGAGGGTTAGACAGGCTGAGAGGGAGAGGAGGGAGATCCAGGAGAGGGTGGAAGGGGAGGAGGAGAAGAGGAGGAGGGCTGAGAAGAGGCTGGAGGAGAGTGAGAGGGAGAGGGGGGAGTCGGAGGAGAGAGTGAGGGAGGCGAGGAGGGAGGTGGAGGAAGGGCGGAGGGAGAAGGAGCAGGTGGTGGGGAGGGTGAGAGTCGTGGAGGAGGAGTTAAGGGGGGAGAGGGAGAAAACTAGCAGTTCTAGAGCAGGAGTTGAAGGTGGAGAAGGAACGAGCTAAGAACCTAGCAGATAAGGTCATAGGAGGAAGTGGGTGCGCAAAAATGGGAGACGAGGTAATGGTACTGGCAGAATCGGTAGCTGCCGTTGATGTAACTGATGTAAAATCAGGAGCAAGCGGAGCAGCAACTGCTGATACCAACAGCAGCAACAATGGAAACAGTGACACCAACGAACCAGACCCGGCAGCCTCGGAGAGGCTTGCCAAGGCTGAGGTTCGGGCTCGGCGCGCCGAAGCTGCCGCCGAGGCTCTCCGTGAGCAGCTGGCGGACCGGGAAGCCATGGAGAAGAGCCGGATCAGGCGAGAGGTTCGGGAGAAAGAGACGGCTGTGGCCAAGCTGAGAGGGCAGGTGGCTCAGGCGGAAGGGAAGTGGAGAAAGGCGGAGGCGAGAGCAAGAGAGGCGGAAGAAGAGGTGGATAGGATTAGAGACGGGCTGATGGGGCGCGGGGGGAGGGGCGGGGGAGGGGGAGGGGGAGGGGAAGAGGGAGAAGGGGGGCTGGAGGAGGGGGGAGGTGGGGATTGGGAGAAATCCGAGGTGGCTCGGATGTGGGGCAAGCTGAAGGAGGCTGAGGAGAGGGCGAAAGAGGCGGAGGGGAAGGCAGCAGAGGAGCAGGAAGCTGCTCGGAAGGCGCTGGACGAGCTGGAGGAGGTGACGTGGAAGGTGAAGGGGGCGGAGGAGGAGGCGAGGAGGGAGAGGGAGAAGCGGGAGAAAATGGCCGAGAGACTGGCTCAGGTGGAAGAGGAGATAGCTGAGAGCCTGGGCGGAGCCGGAGCTGCAGCAGGTGGGAAGATCGCTGGGCAGGTAGGCTTTAAGTCAGCAGCAGGAGAACAGGGGGGACGAGGAGGAGGAGATTCAGGGGGAGCAGCAGGAGGAGCAGTGCCAGCTGGGTTCACTCTTATAGAGGAGTGTGCAATAGAGGGGATGCAGAGGAGGGAGGCGGAGCTGCTTATGCAAGTGGATCAGCACCGGGTGATGCTGGAAAGCAAGGGGGCGGAGGTTCGGAAGAAGGAGGCGGAGGTTCGGGCGAAGGCTCGGGAAGTGACTGCCAAGGAAGAGGAGCTGAAAGCGCTCAGGGCTAAGTGTCAAGAATCGGGAGGCTTAGCTGCTAAGGAACAGGAGATTAAGCGCCTGAAGGAGGAGCTTTTAGCTAAGAGCGAGGAGATTAAAAGGCTGGAGAGAGAGCTGTCTCAGAAGGAGGAGGAGGCGAGGAGAAAAGATATGGAGTTGATTATGAAGTCAGCTGAGGCCAGAGCTAAGGATGAGATAATAGAAGAGAAGGAGAGGGAGCTACAGGAGCTGAGAGAGCAGCTCTTCTCAGGGGCGTCTCCTAGAGGAGGGGGGACTAGTCGAAGCATGCGGTATGGAGGTCCCTCCCCTAGAAGAAAGTCGGATTTTGAGGGAGAGGAGGGGAGAGGGGAGGGTTCGTTTGGCGAGGAGGGAGAGGAGGATACTGTTGAGTCTTTAAGGGAGGAGATAGCTCGGATGGATGGGGAGATGGAGGAGTTATACCAGGCATTGATCGAAGCTCGGGAGGAGAAGGAAGCGACTGTTACGGAGTTACTGAAGCAGGTGGTAACCTTAAACGACAGGCTGGCAGCGGCGAAACGGGAGAAGGACTCTGCAGTTGCCGAGGCTGAGAAGCAGCTCCGGGACGCTGTGGCTGACGCGGAGGAGCGGGCGGAGAAGGCTCGGAAGGAAGCAGAATCCCTAGCAGTGGTGATAGAGCAGACTGAGGGCGATAAGGTGCATGCGCGAGCAAGTGTGGAGAAGGCGCAGGAGTACCTTCGGGCGCTGGACATTGCACGAGTGGAGGTGAAGAGGTTGAGGTTGGAGCGGGACTTGCTGAATGATAGGGTGAATACGTTGGAAGAGCAGGCCAGGGCGGCTGTGAATGCGGGAGGGGCGCTGGGGCGGTGGCTCATGCCCAACTGCCTGCTGCAACGGCCGGAGGGCAGTGGGAGTGGCGGCATGGGGGATGCGCCTGATACTCCAGGCCGGTGATAGTAGGGGTGATCAGTAGTCACTTATCGAGCTTCTCGTTTTCCTCTAGGCGCTTCCTGACACACCTCTGGTGGATGATAGAGGCACTGCGGGAGGGGCACTGGGGCGGTGGCTTATGCCGGATTGTTTGTTGCAGCGGCCGGAGGGCAGTGGATTTGGTGGCACGGGAGATGGATGCTCCTGTCACCCCTGGCAGGTGATAGGGTGGGGTGGAGGTACTAGGTGCGGGTGAGCCTTGTTTCTCCTGACACCTTGATGCTTCTGACACCTTGGTGCTCCTGACACCTTGGCGTGAGTTTCCTTTCAGTTGACTTTCTGTAACTCCTGCCTCTGAGCGTGTTATGACAAGAGAGGTGAGGTGAGAGGGATAAAGAGAGCAGCATGGTGATGCGGGGGGAGATGGATGGACCGGTTGACTTGCAGGGCGGACTGAAGGACATACTGGTTTGACTCAAGGCCAGATGATTATGCCAGATTTTGTAAAGGGTAGGCTGGGCTGGGCAGACCATAAATGTGGTTATGCGAATGAGAGCAGAAATGTGCAGGTTGCAGGTGGTGCATTTGCCAGCAATGTGCTGGATTATAGCTCGATGGTCTTCATTCATCAATATTGTTGTTTTGTGCCACTGTTGTATGTGTCATGATACACGCTGGGGTTGCCCTTGGTCCTCAGGGAAGGGTCACACGAGCAGAGCCTGAGGGGTTATGGCGCACTTACCTCCTACTTAAACAAGCCCTTTGAACTCAGTGGTTAGTGACTGAGTTTTGATTATGTACCATATCTTCATGTAAAGTATTTAACTTTACTCTCTAGCAAGGCCATAAGCACTCTACAGGTAACAGCACCACATTGTACACAAACCAACACCTACCTAAGCATCAAAACCAACGTCCAGGCATTTTCCATACATAAAACTTACCCAACCCATAATTTCCCAAACCATTGTCTAGTCCTGACTGACAGGTTATACCGGTACATCACGCCGCTGCACTACCCGTACAGGAAGGTCCCGCATCCGTTCTGAAGGCTGAAGGCAGGTTTACCCCCCCTGCGCGCACCTGTCGCCTGAAACGCTCCATTGAATCCTCTGCCAAGCAGCATACGCGCTCCATCACCCATACAGGAAGGTCCCTCGCCCAGTGCTGTACCAGTCTGAAATGGCCGAAGGCAGGTCCACCCCCCCTGCTCGTACCGTCCGCCAGAAAGACTTGGCCACAACAGAGTGCGTGTATGACTTCGCCAGGAACACTCCCATGCTCCTCCGCTTCCTAGCAAGCTTCTTCAAACGCATATAAAGTGTAGACGCTACTGTGAGCATCGAGTCTTGCTCGGCCTTGTTACACGCACTGATTTTCAGAGGGTGTTTTGCCCAGGACCAGTCTTTTACCACCTGGGTGATGTTTTTCGCGCCGAGAATGCCCTCCAGGCATTTGGTCCCCTTGGGATTGTCGGCACTCATCTGGTTACCAAGAACGGCTGCTGTGTTGTCGAGCATTGATTGGTAGATGAAGATCGGGGTGCTCACTCGCCCCAGGGCATATTGGGGGAAGTAGCAGAACCACTGGCTCGCCTTGGCGCCTGTGGGTCGTGTGTGTGTGTGTGGGGAGGGGAGGGGGGTTGGGGAAGGTTAGATGCAGTGTTAAAGTAGCAGAACCGCTGGCTTGCCTTGGCGCCTGTGGGCTGGGAAGGGGGGGTTTGGGTGGGGGGGGTGGTGTGCAGGGTAGGTGCAGTGTTAGAGTGTCAACTGGGCGTATGTGGTGAAGTAGCAGATCCACTGGCTCGCCTTGGCCCCTGGGAGTTGGCATGCAGTGGGTAGGAGCAAATGGGAGAAAGAGAATATGAAGTTTGGTGAGCCGACTCACATACAGTGTTCGAGGAAATGTGCACGCTCCACTGCCGTAACGCTTCCACAGCTGGGAACTTGGTTATTAGACCACTTTTGCAATAGGAAACTTGGTCAAGTACGGAATTTGCAACAAGAAACTTGGGTACTTACCACTCATAGATCCAAGTGATCCAACCCAGTTGGGCACTTGGATCTTGTGAAGGCAGCAAACCGTGTGTCGTTTGAGGCACCTCCCCCTTCCCAAACCTGATTCAAATGCCCCATGGTCGGGACGTGGGGTTACTGGCCGCATGCCCCAAGGCACTGCAACGTACCGCTCTTGCAGTTGGGCACTTGGATCTGGTGAAACGCTGCAAACTTCTCGAATGAATCCCGGAAGCTGGACCCACCATCAATAGCCTTGGAATCTGAGGATGGGAGGGAGGGTTAGGGGATGGAGTTTGGGGTACTTGAGGCGCGTCTCAACACTAGGGCTTAAGAACATGGTCAGGGCACTAGAGGCGTACGGGGGAAGAAGCCCGAGTCAGCGATGCACTTGGTGCGCGCAGAGGGAACAGACTCAGCCACTCGCAGTGCACCACCAGCACCTCTCGAGGCGCGCCTCAACACTAAGGTTTTAAGAACACGGTTTGGGCATTAGAGACGTACCGAGGAAGAAGCCCGAGTCGGCGATGCATTTGGTGCGTGCAGAGGGAACAGACTCAGCCACCTTGTCACAGAGCATGACAACCGCCTGGCCGCCGGCAGACTGGCCGGAGAGCAGCACTTCTGACGCTGACCGCATGCCCCGGTTGGCTTTCAGGTCTGGAAGGAAAGAGGGAAAGGGACAAAGGGGCGAGGAAGGCTTTAGGGGAGGGTTGCTTTGTACTAGCAGGGGGGAGGGAGGGAGGTAGCATGGGGGAGGGAGGGAGGACCTCTTTGTTGCAGAGCATGACAACCGCCTGGCCGCCAGCAGACTGGCCTGAGAGCAGCACCTCCGATGCAGAGCGCATACCCCTGCTGGCTTTCAGGTCTAGAAGTTAAAAGGGAGGGAGGGAGGGAGGGATGAGGAAGAGAGGGACGAGGGACCCCATAAGAGCCAGTTTGTGCTTGCATCACCACCGGCAAACCGGCCTGAGAGCAGCACTTCCAATGCAGAGTGCCGCATGCCCCTGCTGGCGATCAGGACTGGACGGAGGGAGGGAGACAGAGGAGGCGCGGAAAGAGGTTGTGGGGCTGCTTGGTACTAGCAGAGGGGGCAGAGAGGGAGGTAGCAGGGGGGAGGAAGGGAGGAAGTCAAGGGTAGAGAAGCAGCCAAGGGTACAGATGCAGGCACTTTGGAGCAGAGCATGACAGTTTTCCCCGAGCTAGAAGGATCTGAGAGGGAGAGATTGAGCGGCTGGCCCTTGAACGATACTCCTTGTGCCTCTCACTCACCATCGAGCACGGCTTGAACGATGTTCCTCCCATCCAAGAAGAGGGTCTTCCCCGAGCTAGAATGATCCGAGAGGGAGAGGTTCAGTGGCTAACCCTTCAGCGAACGTAGAGATTGGACTACGATACTCCTTCTGCCTCTCACTCACCATCGAGCACGGCTTGAACGATGTTCCTCCCATCCAAGTACAGGGTCTTCCCCGATTTAGTTACCACCTTCCCCCTCGTTCCGGTGTACCCGCCTCCATCGCAGTACGCGATAATGACTGTGTTCCACTTGTAGAAAGATGGGTTCGTGCCGCTGTCGGTGCTGAGAATGCCGTCCGTTAGAGGCACGTGCCCGCCGGACTGATGAACGGAGGGATATAGGGGGAAAACACAAGTGTACACAAGTCAAATTCACATGGTATGCGCAGTAACAAGTTATCAAGTGTAGAGTGCTTCGTTCGCTGTTTAATTCGCAGCGATGGGGTGACGAAATGTAACACCTGGCATCGCTTCGATATTGCGTAACTCGTGATATATATCATTGATGTGTGTGCGCGCCCCCGAAAACGTCGTGACTACACTACGACCCCTCACCGCGTACTCCTTTGTGCGCGCCTTGCGATCAACCTCGCAAAGCACCGCATGACGCAAATGTGTACACTGTACAGTTTTGAAAAACAGAAAACCCTGTAACAATACAGAAATGTGTTTATCCAACTTACATTTTCAGTAACGCTGGAAACCCACGCAGACGAGCAGCCCAGGTAGTCCTTGCTGCGTGCCTCGCACTCACTCTCCCCGATGCACCACCCACCGCCCGGCAGGTACATCATGTGGTAGTATGAAGTATGTGGTAAATCCAACATACAGTACACTGCTTCACTGTGACTGCACAGTACGCGTTTATCCAACTTACATTTCCAGTAACGCTTGAAGCCCAGGCAGACGAGCGGCCCAGGTAGTCCTTGCTGCGTGCCTCGCAGTCGCTCTCACCGATGCACCACCCGCCCCCCGGAAGGTATATGTGCCACTTGAGACGTCCCTCGCCCACGCCGGGCCGAAAGTAGTAACCTGGGGGACTGGAGTGGGAATTGGGATGGGATGGGCGGGAGGGATGGGAGGGATGGGAGGGATGGGAGGGATGGGAGGGATGGGAGGGATGGGATGGGCGGGAGGGATGGGAGTGATGGGATGGGCGGGAGGGGCGGTCAAAAGATGGTAGCGCATCACCCCCCACCCCCCGGCAGGTATATGTGCCACTTGAGACGCCCCTCGCACACGCCGGCCCGAAAGTAGTAACCTGGTGAGCTGGAGAGCGGGGGCGGCGGGAGGGGCAGGAGGGATGGGATGGAGGAGATGGGCAGGAGGGGGGAGGGGTACGAAACAGAGTAATGAACGTCGACGGACGGTTCACGTGGACGGACGGACGGTTCGACATGTGCCGCAGGAATACACGCGGCGTACGAGTGGGAATGTGTACACCAGGCGAGCAGCGGATGCTAATCTGTCATCTTCGGTACATACTACTCCGCATTTCATTCGTCAAGGGTAAGATCGCACCTTCCGTCGAGACACTTGGCGCCGTACGCGTTGTTAGGCAATAGGGTCAGAGCGCCGCTGGAAGACGAAGCTGCCGCCACGCCACTCGCGGCGTAAAGAGCGCAGATGAGAGAAGCCATCCATAGAGAATGTCTGGCAGCGGCAGCCATCCAGCCTTTGAATCCCTTGTGGCAGTGTCTAGCGGGATGCAGGGTTACACGGTTACCGAAGATGTACTCCGACGGGTCAAAAGGCACACCGTGGCAGTCCGATTGCGTCAGCTACTGATTCGTCTGGGAATGTCCTGCGAGAAATGTGTTTTGTCCTAAAATTTTTAGTTGCGCCTAGGAAGGTCGTCAGTCAGTGGGTGGTGGCGAATGTGTTCGTGTCCGTACCGTACGATATATTCATGAGCCCAGGAAGGCTGTCAGAGAGGCGAATGAGTAATTTTTCGTAAGCTAGTACTACCAGGGAGGGGGATCTCTTTGCTCGGCGGTTCTGAAGCGAGAACGCGCTTTATATCCTGTCGACGACGGCGAGATGAATCCGATAGGAGACTAGGAGTGTGGTTGGCGGTGATTAGGCGTAAGCTCGACTGATGCGAGGAGGTCGTTGGGTTTGCTGCCTCGATTGAAGAACACATTGTGATGAGCATTTGTTGGTGGGAGCGAGCCTGAGGCGCTCCGCTTCCCATTTCCCCGACCTGATCTACCCTGGAAACCCAGGGCTGGGTTTCTTGTTTTTTTCGGGGGTCGCCTTGACAGTTTTCGGGGCAGCTCACGCTCCAGGTCGCATAGAAAACAACCTGGTTATGGGTACCACAAAGTGGTGAGATGGGGTGGATGTTGCGTAAGAGTGTTCAAGAAACGAGCGTGACGACGGACCCAAGAGGTTGGTTGGGAGTGGAAGCAACGGGTGTATAATATCAAGTGTTTCTCTTATGTCTACCTGCCGAAATTACGGTGTCTCACTAAAATTTTGTACTTAGGTGTAGGTTCCCGGGTAAAAAATGTCACAATGCTTCTTCCCTGGGCGAAGTGTGATTGACCAGGGCGCAGAGAAGCAATCTCGTTTCAGTCAACCGATTCATCCACCGATTGAACGAAATCGATGCGGTGCGACAAGAAATTGCGGCAATGAGCGGCTCGATCCATGTCGGTGCTCTGATAAGGCAACCAAGGGCTGGCGCATGGTGGTGTGGCGCTGGCTTGCGTGGCACCCGAGACTAGGGAGAAAGGTCATGGATGACACACAGCCTGATGAATTGACCTACATCGCACACGTCGCCCTGCCGCTCCAGCCATTTTGCAGCCTTGCTGGCTCATTGCGACGCACCCCACTATTGTACACTGTCCTCATCTACAAGCATATCTTCTAATATATAAATTATCCTTCAAAAGGAAGACCCTAGTGTGCTTCTTGCTCACAATTGTAGCATTTCCTTTCATTCATACAATCTAATGCATCAGAAAATTAAAACTGGAGGTAAAAAATCCTGCGCGTTCGTATAAGACGCAACACCTGACAAAAATCGGTTAGCAACATTCACCCTTGGCGATCACCTTCCGCTACTAAGGATTTGAACTTCGTGCTTGTATCTGGAGACAATAAAACACGCAGCTTATTCCCCATTAACCGTACAGGAAATTACCCCGCCCTGTGCTATGCCAATCTGAGATTGCTGAAACCAGGTCCACACCTCCTGCACTCATCTTCCTCCACATGGTCTTCCCTACCACCGAATGCTTGTATGCCGCAGCCAAAAACACTCCCATGCTCCTCCGCTTGCTTGCGATCTTCTTGAGCCGCATATGCAGTGTAGACGCTACAGTGAGCATAGACTTTTGCTCTGCTTTCTTACATGCTTTTATGCTTATCGTGTCCCAAGTCCAATCCTTCACCACTTGGGTGATATTGTTTGTCGCAAGTATGCCGTCGAGGCATCTGATTCCCTTGGGAATATCCGCATTCATCTGGTTACCAAGAGCTGCTGCTGTGTTGTCAAGCATTGATTGGTAGATGAAAATTGGGGTGTTGACTCGGCCGAGGGCGTATTGGGGGAAGTAGCAGAACCACTGGCTCATGCTGCTGCCTATGGATTAGCGAAGGTCAGGGGAATAGGATTAGCGTGAACAGAGGGGAATATTAGGTGGGAAAGGGATCAGGTATAGTGACTAGTAGGTTGAGACCTTACTTTGAATTCAACCCAGAACTGGAAATACTGGAGAAAACAAACCCTACTGGCCAGCTTTGCAAAGCATAACAAACGCTTGTTCGAGGTACAATAGAGCATGCTGAACCTTGTCGCGAGTAATGATGTGCTGCTGCTACTTAGCCGTGTTCGCACTACCGCAGGTGCTAGCACAGTGTGTGTAGCACAGTGTGTGTAGCATACATGCTCGCATGTACCGCTCTTGCAGTTGGGCACTTGGATCTGGTGGAAGGCTGCAAATTGTGCGCCTTTTGAGGCCACTCAAAGGCTAACCTGAATCAAACGCTGGGTAATAGAGCGCATGGCAACGGCTGTATACATACCGCTCTTGCAGTTGGGCACTTGGATCTGGTGGAAGGCTGCAAACTGCTCAAAGGAGACACGGAAGCTGTAGCCCCCATTAATGTCCTGCGAATCTGCTTTCGGGTTGGGTGGATGCACAGTGCATTGTGGTTGTTTTGTTCGTGTGCATACGTTATCCGTATGGCAAGAAAAGGAGGGGGAAAAAAAAGTTACTGCAGATTTCAAGGGCATTAGGACAGGCTTATGCGCTTGACTATTGTCTATTGGCAGTGTTACATCGGTTTAATTAAGCTGTTGTATGGTGTACCGATAAAGAAGCCCGAGTCGACGAGGCACTTGGTGCTTGCAGAGGGGACGGAAGCAGCCACCCTGTCACAGTGCATGACCACCGCCTGTCCGCCAGCGGAACTTCCAGAGAGGAGCACCTGAGAGGCCGACCGCATGCCCCTGTTGGTGATGAGGTCTGCAGGGTGAGAGGGCAGGAGGGTTCAGAGTTGCTTGGTGCTGGCATAGGGGACATTGAGTGGGTGCAGCGAGGAACGATGCTGCATACAGAGGGCACAGGTGCTCGCGTTCTGTCACAAACCTTCCCAGTTTTCTCTAATTTATATATGAACTAAAAAGAGGTGTGGGGAGGGAAGGTAAAGATGAGTGAAGGAAGGGGCAATAGAAGGGAAATAATAAAAAGCAGTACATTTTAGTTGCTGTATCTCACGCACCATCAATCACGGCTTGGACAATGTTCCTCCCATCCAAGTGAAGAGTTGCTCCCGAGCTCGTATTCACTTTTCCTCTCGTTCCCGTGTACCCGCCTCCATCACAATACGCTATTATCACCGTATTCCAATTGTAGAAGGATGGGTTCTTGCGTGGATACGCGCTGAGGATGCCCTCTGCTGCAGGAGCATGCTTGCTGGACTGTAGAATGAAGTGACATGAGAATATTCAAGCACAGGATATGAAGGAAAAGGTATCTCAAATGCCAATAATCATTATGTGACGCATTACGAATGCCATGTGCAAGTTCTGTCCAGTACTTCACATCACTTCTCATTCGCAACCCCTGGTTCGCCATGGGAGCTTATCCGCGCATTCCTCCCAAACTCACATGAGACACATGTAACAGTTTCTATCACTACAGTAAATTGCAGATTGCGTTTATCCAACTTACATTTCCATTGATGCTGGAAGCCCAGCTGTACGAGCATATCAGTTACCGCTTTGCTGCTGCACGCTTCGTAGTCGCTCTCTTCGAAGCACAACCCACCCCCCAAGAGGCACATGTGATTTTTTAGATTATACAATAAAACCAATGTACAGTACTAAATAAAGCATTCATCCAGCTTACATTTCCATCCATGCTCGGAGCCCATCTGGACGAGCATCCCAGGTACCCCTTGGTGCGCGCCTCGCAGTCGCTCTCTCCGAAGCACCACCCGCCGCCAGGGAGGTAGATGTGCCACATCAACCGACCCGCGCCAATCCCCGGTCGAAAGTAGTAGCCTGGAGGACTGGAGAGCGGCAGGGGCGGTAAAGGAATCACTCTTTTCGCGACGGACATGATAGCGACGGACACCATGTCACACGAATGTGAATTTCACTTAAAATGTAGCTATAATTGTTCGTACAGCAAGGCTACTCCGTAGCTGACGTACCTACTCTGTATTTCTGGTCCCAGTATTTTGGAAAGCGACGGACCCGCCTAAGCGACGCACTTGCGTCGCCAAAAAAGCGCGCAGAAATTTTGAGTCGACTCAAGTGTATCTTGAGTTCACCCCGACTCAAAACACACCTTTTGAGTCGACTAAAAAATTAACGCAGAAATCATAAAGAGAGTGATATCATGGAAGAGGACGCATCTCAGTGAGCGTTTCGTCGGTATAGACGTGTCAACTTGCGAAGGAACAGAAGAGAGGAGTTCGACTACGCGCGTACGGTCTTTGTAGGCGCTTTTTACTCGTCGATTCTGTGTTCGTCATGAGTACTTTACCTTCCATCGAGGCATTTGGCGCTGTACGCGTTATTAGGCAGCAGGGTGAGACGCGTGCCTCCGGAAGTTTTAGCCGCGTCACTTGCGGCGTAAAGTGCGCTGAAGAGAATAAGCACCAACAAAAAGTTCCTCGGTATCGCTACTTGGACGTGATCGGTGATTTTCTCTGCAAACCTTCCAAAAGCCATGTTCTAAGCGTACGTGCTGCTGTTGTTCGAAATGCAGGGCGAATCCGCGAGTGGCGGAAGAGGACTACAATGCCGAAAAAACCACGGAGCCACTCAGTGGCCTGAAATGGGAGTAAAAGCATCGAGTGATATTTTGCATGCCGCATTGTAATGTTGGGTGGGACACCGAACTGTGTCGACGAGTACGACACCTAACTTTTGCCTCGGAGGCAAGGCGCGTGGTGCTGCGAGCGCGGCACAGGCTCTCAGCCGCTCGAGACAATCTGAACCGTCCATAATATGCTTGCTTCTCAAAGCGCCTTGCGAAGCTCTGCCTTCTTTCTTGCTGGACAGCACTGTTTGGTCAAGTACAGTACGATGCACGAAATCATCATTATTGATTTCGGTGTCGCTCGTTTGGGCGCTTTCTAATCGTGGTCTGTACGTTACAGTAGTGTTAAGTGCGATAATTTTCTCAAATTTGGAACGGAGTCACTTGGTAAATGCACGATCTGGGGTGAGGCGCCAATTTGCGACTGTAATTCTGGACGAGGAGCTAGGATGCGTGATGTGCAATTTCGAAGAATCTCCACCAACTGAGTCCAACCGCCGGCGAGAGAGATCGACGCAGCGCGACGAAAATGATCGGATTGCGGCTGCGAGCGGCTCGGTTCTAGTCGGAGCTGGTTTGACTGCCACTGCGCGGCTGGCGAAGTTGCAGGGCTGGCGTTCGTGTGTATTCACAGAAGGAGCGAGAGGTGGATGGTGGATAACACGCGCCAAACTGACGAGCCAATCCGCATAGCCCCTGAATCAATGTCATCGCCTACTAGCTCCCATCCCAGCCACTTTGCAGTTCGGTCTATAATGCAGATATTGTACACTGGGTGGCACGAAGTCTCAAGCTATATAATCCAATACGACTGACTTCATTTTTTTCTAGACCAACCTTAGGTCAACCAATGCTATAAACCAGATATCACAAATCAGTGTATTTTGGGTGGGGTTTCACATCGTATAAATATTTTCCCATCGAAATACCTCTGATTCTTTTAGATTGTACGAAACTATGTAGAGTAGCACGTAGACGCCTAGGAAATTTCCAATGTCTATATGTGAAAGTTGACTACATGGAATTGTGCCTGTTTGCACGACATACATGAGTTCTTAGCAACTCAGTTCTGGAGGTGTATTTATGAAGAAACTTTGCGTTTATTTCACGGTTCATTCCACGAATCGCCTCTGACAGAAAGGTATGTGGAAGGAAGAGTCTCCTGAGTCTCCTGAAGACTCTTCCTTCCACATACCTTTCTGCCTTCTCCGCTCCGTCGCCGGCGCTTATCCCGCCAGCGCTATCAACTTTTGAGACGTCTCAAGTAAAGCTTTACGCGCAGGGCAGGTCGCTCGTACCAGCGAGAACGCTCCTCCTGTTGCTGCTGGTTTTCGCGAATTTTTTGTCATCGCCTGCACGCTCGTCTCAGCGTAAGCAGGTCGTTCATACCCGCGTAGACGGGCCGTTCAGCGTGTTCTGGCGTTTTGCGAGCGCTATCTAAGCAAGCCGGCACGCGGCGCGGGGATCGTCATGTGTAGGACGGAAGTCGTGAGTTAAAGTGCCGTTGGGCTAGTACAACAACCGAAGCACCTCTTCAATGGCGCGAAACGCGGTACGTCGAGGTTTCCCGCCGTCGAGGTTTGTACAAAATGACTTCCGCATTGATAGTAGTATCGGTGACGCCATGGAATTTTATGTCACCAAATGTCATAGAAACTGACATCCGCATCGGGTAGTATCCCCTCCCTTTGCTGCCGCATGTCTGTCCGGGATGACTTCTGTTTTTGAGAATTCTCAAAAATAGTATCCTCCTCCTGTGCTGCGTCTGGACTGGCCGGCATTGGACTCCTCAGGCTCCTCTCTCTCCTCTCTCTCCTCGCTTGCGGAAGTGGTTTCCCGCCATCGCGGTTTTTCCAAGATGACTTCCGAATTGTTAGTATCCCCTCCTCTCCTCTTTCCCCCACTCCCCCCTCTTCCCCCCCTCTTCCCCCCCTTGCCCCCAACAACCCCCCTTGCCCCCAACAACCCCCCTTGCCCCCAACAACCCCCCTTGCCCCCAACAACCCCCCTTGCCCCCAACAACCCCCCTTGCCCCCAACAACCCCCCTTCCCCTTTGCTCAAGAATCAGTGGTGCATGTGGTGGATGCGAGACCCTCTGTCCCCCCCCCCCCCCCCCCCCCTTCTTTTGCACAGGAATTAGTGGTGTATGTGGTGGATGCGGGTCTTTCTGTCTGTCAATCAAGTTGCTGCGTTCCTCTGTCTTCTCCTGTCCCCTCCACTCCCCTCCACTCCCCTCCACTCCCCTCCACTCCCCTCCACTCCCCTCCACTCCCTCCCTCTCTCCCTCCCTCCCCCCCCCCCCCCCCCCCCCCCTTATCTCCTCTTCCTTTGCACAGGAAGCAGTGGTGTAAGTGGTGGATGCGGGAATTTCTGTGTGTCACTCAGCTGTTTGCTGCTTCTCTCTGTCTCTTCATGTTTGCCTCTTTTCCCCCCCCCACCCCCCCCCCCCACCCCCCCCCTCTTCCTTTGCACAGGAGACAGTGGTCTACGTGGTGGATGCGGGTCCCTCTGTCCCTCGGAGCGTGTTTCAGGAGTGCTGGTTGTGGGTGGAGCAGCAGATGGTGCAAAAGGTAAGGGCGTGAGGGGGAGAGAGTTTGTGTGTGTGTGCGCGCACACATGCATGAGTGCATGTGCCTGCCAGAGACACTGCCCACATGCCCACGTGCCCGGCTGTCCCAGAGACTGTGTGTTTCAGGAGTGCCGGTTGTGGGGGGAGCAGCAGATGGTGCAGAAGGTGAGGGTGTGAGGGGGAGGAGGGGGAGGAGAAAGGGGAGAGGAGGTGTGTGTGCGCTTGTGTGCGTGCACCTATCTGGGTCCCTCTGTCTCACGGAGTGTGTTTCAGGAGTGCTGGATGTGGGTGGAGAAGCAGATTGTGCAAAAGGTGTGTGGGGGGAAGGGGGGGGGGAGAGGGGGAGAGCGTCTGCGAGTGTGTGTATGCACATGCATGTAGACATGCCTGTTTGCCCCAGAGGTTGTGGTTCACTAGTGTCGACTGTTGGCTCGGGTTGGTGCAGGGTTTCGCCTCTGCCCAGCAGTTGGTGCAAAGGGTGTGTGTTTGTGTGTGAGTGAGTGATTCAGCACGCCAATTCGTGCCATCTCATGCCATGTCACACCATCTTACCATCCGTTTCCTTGTGTAATCCTACTCCTTGCCTGATCCATCCATCCCTATAACCTCTCTGCGCTTTCCTGGCAGCTTCTCTTCAACCCACGAGACGATGTTGCAGTCGTTGCATTTGGCTGCGAGGGTATGTGATGTAAACATCAGGATTGCAGCCATACACACACCATGCCATGCACCAACACACCATGCCATGCACCAACACACCATGCCATGCACCAACACACCGTATTCCTTTTGATTCGAGTCAAAAGCGAACCCATACAGCACACCGTGCCATGCCATGCCATGCCTTGCCCATATCATGTTAATGTCCAAGCCGATACGCTCTGCAAATTGACTTTTGAGTCGACTCAAAAGTCACCTTGTCCATGCCCATACGCTCTGCAAATCCCATATGCTGTTGATGCCCATACCGTACCCATTCGCCGTGCCATTTCACATGGCATACCACTTGCTATGCCTTTTCCATGCCAATTCCGATCCTTGTTCACGTGCACCATGGTAACCTGGTAACTATGTAACTCGTTTTCTGTATCCTTCCACCTCGCCTGCCGTCTTACAACTTCCGCCTGCATGCTACACCCGTGCCATGGCCCCACCAACGACCTGCATGGGGAGGCAGATGGGGGGTATGAGCACATATCGGTGGTGGAGCCTCGACTGGAGGTGACTTGTCAACTGTCCATTTCCCCACCCCTTACCCCTTGGCAGAAACAAGCAACGACCTGCATATAGAGTCAGAGGGTGGATACGAGCACACATCGGTGGTGGTGCCTCACAGGCTGGTGGATCCATCCTCGTTAAAAGCTGTGCATGCTATGGAGCAAGCAGCAGAAGCCGGCATACAGAGTGACTGTAAGTATTTGGTAAGCAACAGGAGGGATTGTTGCGAGTATATGGCAATTACAGGAGAATGCTTAGAGAGTGTGCGTGTGTGTGGGTTGCTGGTAACGAGGGTGATTATGAGTGACTCGGTTGGTTGCAGGGGGTTGGTTGTTGTGAGCGGGCGAGAGGCAAAGGAGAGGAGCTAAGTGAAATTGTCGAAGCAGCGAAGGCCCATTGCATTGAGCCCTGGGGAAGTGGGCTCCTCCTCTTTCCCTTCCTCCCTCCCACTTACCTCCTCCCCCTGGGCTCAGAGCATTGGGTCCTTCTGCTCAAGTCTTGAGGCCAGCTGGGTTTTGAGGCGCCTCAAAACCAGGGCTCAATGCATTGGGGGGTCCTTCTCGTTGAGGCCAGGTGGAGTTGGAAAAAGGTGCTGAGGAGCCTCAGTGCACTCATCTTCGTTCTCTCTCCAGTTCCGATTTTCCATCTCCCGTTTCCCCATCTCCGCCCACCCCCTGTGTCCCCAGGGCTCAGTGAGTTCGTGGTTTCCCTAAACCTTAAGTCAAAGGGGCTGAAGAAAGGTGCTGATGTGATTAACAATACTCCTTTCCTCTATCAACTCTGCCCGTCAACCCTGCCTGTCTCTCCTTCCACCAGGGCTCAGTGCGCTCGTGGTTTCCCTGGACCTTCTCATAAAGTCAAGGGGCCAGCTCGCGCTGAAGAAGGGCGTGAAGCGCATCGTGCTGCTGACAGGTGGCGGCACGCCGTTGGAGGAGGCGAGCGAAGGCACGAACGAGGAACAGGTAGAGGGAAGTCGGGAGATGTATTGGGAGGGAAGGCAAGTGATGTATTGACGTGCCTAAAGTGCGAAGAGCAGTTATTGGGGAAGTTGGGGGCTGGAGGGGAGGTGGGAGCGGAGAGGGAACGTGGGGGGCGGAGGGGAGGGGGGAGAAGGCAGGGGAAACGTGGGGGGCGGAGGGGAGGGGGGAGGGGGGGGGTCTCATAATACACGGAGGAATGGGGGAGGAGGCGGTGGGTTAAGTGGACGCGGGATGGGGAGCGTGAAAGAGTTGAAGAAGTTGTTTCAGTAATAGAATAAGGAGCATACATAGGAAAGTTGGGAAGGAAGAGAAGCTAGCAAGAGAAGGATGAACAGTGCCACATGCAGTTGGGTAGGAATAGTACCCAACCACCATGGGAGCCATTTGCATGGTCCCAATATTGTGGTCTTGGTGCTCGGGGGCTCCAACCACTCCAGGGTTGGATTAACACCCCTTGCACTTTGATGTGTACACCACAGGTTGGTGTACACCTAGCTAATATACTAGTCGAGCATGTTACAATAGATATATATAATATAACACAATCCCTTAACATGCAGAGGACTAGGATGGAGAAGACGAACAACCCCTGAATCATGGAGCGCGGGAGGGGCTAGGAAGGTCAAGGCCAAGGAGACGAAGGAGGGCCTTTTGTGCGGCTTTGGGCAAGGCCTTGGTGAAAATGTCCGCCAAGTTTGCTTCAGCAGCAATCTTGCGCACGACAAGGTGACCCTGCTAGACGAGCTCGCGAATGTAGAAATAACGAAGCTCGATGTGCTTGAACTGCCCATGGAAGACCGGGTCCTTGGTGAGGTGGATCATGCTGGCATTGTCGCACTAGAGAATGGGACAGTGCTGGGGAGCACTGAGCTCGAAGATAACACAGCCAGCGCGATTCCTGGGTGGCCATAGTGCCGGCATAGAGCTCGACCTTGCACGAGGAGAGAGCGATGGCGAACGAGCAGGTGGAACGCCTGCTGATGAGGCCACTGTCCAGGGTAAAACCATAGCCCTGGGAGGAGCGGCGGTCGGGTTGAGAATCGGCCCAGGAGGAGTCAGTGAAGCCAGTGAGGAGAAGAGGGGAGGTGCCGCCAAGGTTCAAGACGTAGTCCTTGGTTCCCGAGAGGTAGCGGAGGACTCTCTTGGCAGCGGCCCAGTGTGCGGGAGTGTGGCGGCCGGTACCAACGAACTGGGTGAGGACGCTGATGGGGTATGCAAGGTCAAGGCGCGTACACATCATGTCGTACATGAGGGACCCGACAAGCTCGGCATAGGGGTGATCAGAGGCGGAGGGAGAGGTGGAAGACGCAAGCTGGTGACCAACACGCAGGGGGGTGGACACTGGCTTGGTCTGCGCCATGGTGAACCGCTCCAGGAGCTGGTCGATGTAGAACGATTGGGACAGCGTGATGGTGTGGGCCTCCAGGTTGCGTGTGATGGTCATGCCGAGGTAGTTCTTTAGCGCGCCCAAGTCCGTGCACTGAAGGCGGGTCTGAAGCTTGGCCTTGACCTTCACCATGTCAGCTTCCTCATCGGCTATGAGGATCATGTCATCCACATAGACGAGGATGAAGAAGCGGCTGGGGGCGGCACGGAGGAAGAGACTGGCATCAGAGTGGGTGGCACGGAAGCCCATGGCTTGAAGGGTGGCAGCTAATTTGGCATGCCACGCGCGAGGTGCCGGCTTCAAGCCATACACAGGGAAACGTTTCTTGCAAGTTCCATCCCAGTTCTCAACTTTCCACTGCTCCGCTCCCTTCCCCTTCCCACTCTTTGTAGCCCTCCCTCCCCTCTGTTTTCAGTTGGCAACCCTGGCAGTTACCATGCGGCTTTACGGCATCACACTGCATGCTGTGCTAACTGCCCTTCCCCCTGACCTCCCGCTATTACCCCGTTCCCCTTCCCACTCTTTCCCCTCCTCTCTGTTCAGGTGTGTTCAGGTGGCAACCCTGGCAGACACCATGCGGCTTTCTGGCATCTCAGTCACTGCATGCAGTGCTGCTGGGACCTTGTCCCTACCTTCCCCTATCCTTGCCAGTCCCTGACTTCTCACTGCTCCGCTCCCTTCCCCTTACCACTCTTCGTCGCCCTCCCTCCCCCCCGTTCAGGTGGCAACCCTGGCAGACACCATGCGGCTCTATGGCATCACACTGCATGCTGTGCTGCTGAGAGACCTTGCCTCTGGCTCCATCCCTTCGTAACAATTCACTGTTCCTCTCTCTTACCCTCCCACTCTTCGTCGCCCTCCCTCCCCATTGTTTTCAGGTGACAACCCTGGCAGACACCATGCGGCTGTATGGCATCACTCTGCATGCCGTGCTGCTGAGGGGGGAGGTGGGAGGCAAAGAAGCAAGGGCAGCAGGGGGAGGACGGGGCAAGGGGGTTTTCAACGAGAATGAGAAACTGCTAAGAAGTTTCTTCGATGCTGGTGCCTCCAGGGATCCCAGGGGTCGGAAAAGTGCAGCGGATGAGTGGGGTGGGAAAATGGAGGGGTTTGCAGGTGTTGGTAGAGGTGGGGCGGAAGGGGAAAGTGCGCAGGGTGCGGGAGAGGAGGGGAGGAAAGAGGGTGGCGGTGGTTCGGTGTGCGAGGGGGAGTTGAGAGTGATAGCATCACTCGCAGCAGCAGGCATGCTTTTCAGAGTGAAGCCAAGAGTGCTGCCCACCACGTCCTACCGAGGCGACTTGCTGGTGGCTCCTGGGTTCACAATCAAGGTATTTGCACTGCTCTTTCGTCTGTCTCTTTCCTTCTAAGCAGCACCAGCAGCATCGCTGGCAGCTGCAGCAGCATCACCAGCAGCAGCATGCAAGCTCTCAAGAGTGAAGCCAAGAGTGCTGCCCACCACGTTCTACCGAGGCGACTCGCAGGTGGCTCATGGGTTCACAACGAAGGTATAAATTGCTCTTGAGTCGACTCAAAAGACGAAGGTATAAATGGCTCTTTCATACTTTTTCTTTCTAGCTAAGAAGCACCAACAGCCTTTCCTGCAGCGGCAGGCTTGCCCTACCAGTGAAGCTGAGACTGAGAGTGCTGCCCACCACGTCTTACCTAGGGGACTTGCTGGTGGCACCACCAGCCTCCAGGGTTCACAACAGCATCGCTAGCAGCGGCAGGCATGCTCTCTACCAGTGAAGCTGAGAGTGCTGCCCGTCACCACGTCCATCTTATGATCTTATCTAGCAGATTCGTAAAAGTCTCCTGTGTCTCTCTCAGCTTCACCTCACTGTGACACTTGGCGGTGACACTTGGCTGTGACACGTGACACTTTGCTGTGACACTTGGCTGTGACACTTGGCTGTGACATTTTTCTGTGACACTTGGCTGTGACACTTGGCTGTGAAAGCGAATGTGTTTTGAGACGTCTCAAAACAGGTGCTTACCTTCCCCCATCCAGCCGTCCTCCCCCACTGGGCTTACAAGGGAGCTTCCCCGGTTCGCCATCTCCCCGCTCTCAAGCTTCTGTCTCGCCTCGCCTCTCCCTCTGGCCCTTCTGCTACTGGGGGGGTGAAGCAGGAGAGAGGGAGTACAGACTGGTGCAGAGTGGTGCAGATGCTTATCTTGCCCATCGAACCTCCCTTCTCCATTCCACCCCACAGGTCTGGGCATACAAGAAAACGGAGAGAGTAGTTGCCCATAAATACACGGACCACTTGAGAAAACAGAGTGGTTCTGGGCGGTAGAGTGGTGTTGTTTACATTTTCCATCCAACTCCCCTTCCCCAACCGCACTCTCAGGTCTAGGCTTACGAAAAGAATCTCGCCCAGCGCCTCCCCTCCCTCAACATCCTCTCTCGCCCCTTCCTCCAACCCCTGTGCCACCCTTTCCACCATACCCGCACACTCTCAGGCCTGGGCTTACAAGAAAACCTTTCCCCAGCGCCTCCCCTGCCTCAAGTTCCTCTCTCGCCCCTTCCTTCCTCTCCGACCCCTCTGCCACCCATTCTACCCCAACTGCACCGCACTCTCAGGTCTGGGCTTACAAAAAGACCTTCGCCCAACGCCTTCCTCCCTTAAAGCTTCTGTCTCGCCTCGCCCCTCCCTCTGACCCCTCGGCTACTGGGGATGTGAAGATGGAGCGAGAGTACAAAGTGGTGCAGAGCCGTGGAGATGGGCATGGGGAGGGTGGAGGGGGTGGGGGGGATGAAGGAGGGGAGGGGGGAGGAGAGTGCAGTGAAGGAGCAGGGGGAGGAGGGGGCGAGGAGCCAGAGACAGTGGGGCTGGATGAGCTTGTGCGAGCGTACAAGTACGGGCCTCAGGTACAGTCCTCAGGTACGGCCCTGGTGTCAGGTATGGACCTCAGGTACGGGCCTGGTGTCAGGTATGGACCTCAGGTACGGCCCTGGTGTCAGGTATGGACCTCAGGTACGGGCCTGGTGTCAGGTATGGACCTCAGGTACGGGCCTGGTGTCAGGTATGGACCTCAGGTACGGGCCTGGCCTCAGGTATGGGCCTAAGGTGGATCTGACTTGTAATCTGTTGTGTGGTTTTGAGGCGCCTCAAAGCGGGAATGCGGCAGGGGGATGGAGGGGAGGAGGGGGGCGAGGAGCCAGAGACAGTGGGGCCGGATGAGCTCGTGCGAGCATACAAGTACGGGCCTCAGGTCGGTTGTGAGTCAATGCAAGTCGACCCAAGCTAGCATGGTATGGGGCTGAGCTGGGGCTGAGGCGGGGTGGGGAAGAGGGGGAGGGTGCGAGGAGCCGGAGGCAGTGGGGTTGGATGAGCTCGTGAGAGCGTACAAGTACAGGCCTCAGGTGAGTCTCTCTTATTAGGTTTTGAGGGGCGACAAAGCGGGAATAAGGAAGCGGAGTGGAGGGGGAGTGGGCGAGGAGCCGGAGACAGTGGGGTTGGTTGGATGAGCGCGTCCGAGCAATTTTCGAGTCGTCTCAAAAGCATCTGAATACGGGCCTCAGGTAAGAGTTCGTTCACTACATGGGCGTACTCTACTGGTGCGACCCGTTCTGGTGTTTACCCTGTCTGACATCATCCCCTGCTGCGTGTCTGTTGTTTTCGAGGTGACTTTTGAGTCGACTCAAAAGTCACCCCATCCATTCTGGTGTTTACCCTGTCTGACATCATCCCGGTGTGTGTCGGGTTGACCGCATGCCACCCACGCCCCACTCAAACGATGACCATTCATACCACCTCCCCACCAGGTCATCCCTGTGAGCGGCTAGGACCGCATGGGAACCGGTTTCAGGTGGAAAAAGGGATCCTGTGAGCTGATTGGATTCACCAGGTCATCCCAGTGAGCTGATTGGATTCACCATGAGAGACCCAAACCTCTGCCTTGCATGCTTCCCCCCAACCAGGTCATCCCCTTGAGCGACTATGACCGCTCGTCTCCAGTGGCTATCATCCCCGTCCCGTCTATGAACTCCATGTCATTAGTGGCATCGCAAACCTCTATCGTGCATGCATCCCCCCAGCCAGGTCATCCCCCTGGGTGACTATGACCGCTCGTCTCAAGTGGCTACCCAGTGCCACGACATCGCCATGCCATTAATGGCATCGCAAACCTCCCTATCTTGCACGCATCGCCCCCACCAGGCCATCCCGGTATGAGTGACTACGACGCATGGCAAACCGATTTCCGACCGACTGAGATCTGTGCCGTTCCGAAACCCTATCCTGACTTTTGAGTCGGCTCAAAAGTCACACTGATTCCAGGCCGAATGGGATTTGTGACGCTCCAAAACCCTATCCTGCATCCCTCCCCCTCAACAGGTCATCCCTGTGGGTGAATACGACCGCATGGCGAACCGATTTCCAACTGACTGTTATCTGTGACGTTCCGAAACCCTATCCTGACTTTTGAGTCGACTCAAAAGTCACACCGATTCCGGGCCGAATGGGATTCGTGACGCTCCAAACCAAAAGCCTATCCTTGATCCACCCCCCCTCAACAGGTCATCCCTGTGAGCGACTATGACCGCATGGCGAACCGGTTTCTGGCGGAAAAGGGGATCCAACTGATTGGATTCACTATGAGAGAGCAGATCCCCAGGTGTGTCGATGTAAAAACCGTGTGTAATGAGTCTGCTTTTGAGTCGACTCAAAAGATTCACTATGAGACCAGATCCCCAGGTGTGTCGATGTAAAAACTGTGTGTAATGAGTCTGCTCTAGAGTCGACTCAAAAGATTCAATATGAGAGAGCAGATCCCCAGGGGCGTCGACGTAAAAACTGTGTGTAATGAGTCTGCTTTTGAGTCGACTCAAAAGATTCACTAGGAGAGACCAGATCCCCAGGTGTGTCGATGTAAAAACTGTGTGTAATGAGTCTGCTCTAGAGTCGACTCAAAAGATTCAATATGAGAGAGCAGATCCCCAGGGGCGTCGATGTAAAAACTGTGTGTAATGAGTCTGCTTTTGAGTCGACTCAAAAGATTCACTATGAGACCAGATCCCCAGGTGTGTCGATGTAAAAACTGTGTGTAATGAGTCTGCTCTAGAGTCGACTCAAAAGATTCAATATGAGAGAGCAGATCCCCAGGGGCGTCGATGTAAAAACTGTGTGTAATGAGTCTGCTTTTGAGTCGACTCAAAAGATTCACTATGAGAGAGCAGATCCCCAGGTGTGTCGATGTAAAAACCGTGTGTAATGAGTCTGCTTTTGAGTCGACTCAAAAGATTCACTATGAGACCAGATCCCCAGGTGTGTCGATGTAAAAACTGTGTGTAATGAGTCTGCTCTAGAGTCGACTCAAAAGATTCAATATGAGAGAGCAGATCCCCAGGGGCGTCGATGTAAAAACTGTGTGTAATGAGTCTGCTTTTGAGTCGACTCAAAAGATTCACTATGAGACCAGATCCCCAGGTGTGTCGATGTAAAAACTGTGTGTAATGAGTCTGCTCTAGAGTCGACTCAAAAGATTCAATATGAGAGAGCAGATCCCCAGGGGCGTCGATGTAAAAACTGTGTGTAATGAGTCTGCTTTTGAGTCGACTCAAAAGATTCACTAGGAGAGACCAGATCCCCAGGTGTGTCGATGTAAAAACTGTGTGTAATGAGTCTGCTCTAGAGTCGACTCAAAAGATTCAATGAGAGAGCAGATCCCCAGGGGCGTCGATGTAAAAACTGTGTGTAATGAGTCTGCTTTTGAGTCGACTCAAAAGATTCACTATGAGACCAGATCCCCAGGTGTGTCGATGTAAAAACTGTGTGTAATGAGTCTGCTCTAGAGTCGATTCAAAAGATTCAATATGAGAGAGCAGATCCCCAGGGGCGTCGATGTAAAAACTGTGTGTAATGAGTCTGCTTTTGAGTCGACTCAAAAGATTCACTATGAGAGAGCAGATCCCCAGGTGTGTCGATGTAAAAACCGTGTGTAATGAGTCTGCTTTTGAGTCGACTCAAAAGATTCACTATGAGACCAGATCCCCAGGTGTGTCGATGTAAAAACTGTGTGTAATGAGTCTGCTCTAGAGTCGACTCAAAAGATTCAATATGAGAGAGCAGATCCCCAGGGGCGTCGATGTAAAAACTGTGTGTAATGAGTCTGCTTTTGAGTCGACTCAAAAGATTCACTATGAGACCAGATCCCCAGGTGTGTCGATGTAAAAACTGTGTGTAATGAGTCTGCTCTAGAGTCGACTCAAAAGATTCAATATGAGAGAGCAGATCCCCAGGGGCGTCGATGTAAAAACTGTGTGTAATGAGTCTGCTTTTGAGTCGACTCAAAAGATTCACTAGGAGAGACCAGATCCCCAGGTGTGTCGATGTAAAAACTGTGTGTAATGAGTCTGCTCTAGAGTCGACTCAAAAGATTCAATGAGAGAGCAGATTCCCAGGGGCGTCGATGTAAAAACTGTGTGTAATGAGTCTGCTTTTGAGTCGACTCAAAAGATTCACTATGAGACCAGATCCCCAGGTGTGTCGATGTAAAAACTGTGCGTAATGAGTCTGCTCTAGAGTCGACTCAAAAGATTCAATATGAGAGAGCAGATCCCCAGGGGCGTCGATGTAAAAACTGTGTGTAATGAGTCTGCTTTTGAGTCGACTCAAAAGATTCACTATGAGAGAGCAGATCCCCAGGTGTGTCGATGTAAAAACCGTGTGTAATGAGTCTGCTTTTGAGTCGACTCAAAAGATTCACTATGAGACCAGATCCCCAGGTGTGTCGATGTAAAAACTGTGTGTAATGAGTCTGCTCTAGAGTCGACTCAAAAGATTCAATATGAGAGAGCAGATCCCCAGGGGCGTCGATGTAAAAACTGTGTGTAATGAGTCTGCTTTTGAGTCGACTCAAAAGATTCACTATGAGACCAGATCCCCAGGTGTGTCGATGTAAAAACTGTGTGTAATGAGTCTGCTCTAGAGTCGACTCAAAAGATTCAATATGAGAGAGCAGATCCCCAGGGGCGTCGATGTAAAAACTGTGTGTAATGAGTCTGCTTTTGAGTCGACTCAAAAGATTCACTAGGAGAGACCAGATCCCCAGGTGTGTCGATGTAAAAACTGTGTGTAATGAGTCTGCTCTAGAGTCGACTCAAAAGATTCAATGAGAGAGCAGATCCCCAGGGGCGTCGATGTAAAAACTGTGTGTAATGAGTCTGCTTTTGAGTCGACTCAAAAGATTCACTAGGAGAGACCAGATCCCCAGGTGTGTCGATGTAAAAACTGTGTGTAATGAGTCTGCTCTAGAGTCGACTCAAAAGATTCAATGAGAGAGCAGATCCCCAGGGGCGTCGATGTAAAAACTGTGTGTAATGAGTCTGCTTTTGAGTCGACTCAAAAGATTCACTATGAGACCAGATCCCCAGGTGTGTCGATGTAAAAACTGTGTGTAATGAGTCTGCTCTAGAGTCGACTCAAAAGATTCAATATGAGAGAGCAGATCCCCAGGGGCGTCGATGTAAAAACTGTGTGTAATGAGTCTGCTTTTGAGTCGACTCAAAAGATTCACTATGAGAGAGCAGATCCCCAGGTGTGTCGATGTAAAAACCGTGTGTAATGAGTCTGCTTTTGAGTCGACTCAAAAGATTCACTATGAGACCAGATCCCCAGGTGTGTCGATGTAAAAACTGTGTGTAATGAGTCTGCTCTAGAGTCGACTCAAAAGATTCAATATGAGAGAGCAGATCCCCAGGGGCGTCGATGTAAAAACTGTGTGTAATGAGTCTGCTTTTGAGTCGACTCAAAAGATTCACTATGAGACCAGATCCCCAGGTGTGTCGATGTAAAAACTGTGTGTAATGAGTCTGCTCTAGAGTCGACTCAAAAGATTCAATATGAGAGAGCAGATCCCCAGGGGCGTCGATGTAAAAACTGTGTGTAATGAGTCTGCTTTTGAGTCGACTCAAAAGATTCACTATGAGACCAGATCCCCAGGTGTGTCGATGTAAAAACTGTGTGTAATGAGTCTGCTCTAGAGTCGACTCAAAAGATTCAATATGAGAGAGCAGATCCCCAGGGGCGTCGATGTAAAAACTGTGTGTAATGAGTCTGCTTTTGAGTCGACTCAAAAGATTCACTATGAGACCAGATCCCCAGGTGTGTCGATGTAAAAACTGTGTGTAATGAGTCTGCTCTAGAGTCGACTCAAAAGATTCAATATGAGAGAGCAGATCCCCAGGGGCGTCGATGTAAAAACTGTGTGTAATGAGTCTGCTTTTGAGTCGACTCAAAAGATTCACTAGGAGAGACCAGATCCCCAGGTGTGTCGATGTAAAAACTGTGTGTAATGAGTCTGCTCTAGAGTCGACTCAAAAGATTCAATGAGAGAGCAGATCCCCAGGGGCGTCGATGTAAAAACTGTGTGTAATGAGTCTGCTTTTGAGTCGACTCAAAAGATTCACTATGAGACCAGATCCCCAGGTGTGTCGATGTAAAAACTGTGTGTAATGAGTCTGCTCTAGAGTCGACTCAAAAGATTCAATATGAGAGAGCAGATCCCCAGGGGCGTCGATGTAAAAACTGTGTGTAATGAGTCTGCTTTTGAGTCGACTCAAAAGATTCACTATGAGAGAGCAGATCCCCAGGTGTGTCGATGTAAAAACCGTGTGTAATGAGTCTGCTTTTGAGTCGACTCAAAAGATTCACTATGAGACCAGATCCCCAGGTGTGTCGATGTAAAAACTGTGTGTAATGAGTCTGCTCTAGAGTCGACTCAAAAGATTCAATATGAGAGAGCAGATCCCCAGGGGCGTCGATGTAAAAACTGTGTGTAATGAGTCTGCTTTTGAGTCGACTCAAAAGATTCACTATGAGACCAGATCCCCAGGTGTGTCGATGTAAAAACTGTGTGTAATGAGTCTGCTCTAGAGTCGACTCAAAAGATTCAATATGAGAGAGCAGATCCCCAGGGGCGTCGATGTAAAAACTGTGTGTAATGAGTCTGCTTTTGAGTCGACTCAAAAGATTCACTATGAGACCAGATCCCCAGGTGTGTCGATGTAAAAACTGTGTGTAATGAGTCTGCTCTAGAGTCGACTCAAAAGATTCAATATGAGAGAGCAGATCCCCAGGGGCGTCGATGTAAAAACTGTGTGTAATGAGTCTGCTTTTGAGTCGACTCAAAAGATTCACTATGAGACCAGATCCCCAGGTGTGTCGATGTAAAAACTGTGTGTAATGAGTCTGCTCTAGAGTCGACTCAAAAGATTCAATATGAGAGAGCAGATCCCCAGGGGCGTCGATGTAAAAACTGTGTGTAATGAGTCTGCTTTTGAGTCGACTCAAAAGATTCACTAGGAGAGACCAGATCCCCAGGTGTGTCGATGTAAAAACTGTGTGTAATGAGTCTGCTCTAGAGTCGACTCAAAAGATTCAATGAGAGAGCAGATCCCCAGGGGCGTCGATGTAAAAACTGTGTGTAATGAGTCTGCTTTTGAGTCGACTCAAAAGATTCACTATGAGACCAGATCCCCAGGTGTGTCGATGTAAAAACTGTGTGTAATGAGTCTGCTCTAGAGTCGACTCAAAAGATTCAATATGAGAGAGCAGATCCCCAGGGGCGTCGATGTAAAAACTGTGTGTAATGAGTCTGCTTTTGAGTCGACTCAAAAGATTCACTATGAGAGAGCAGATCCCCAGGTGTGTCGATGTAAAAACCGTGTGTAATGAGTCTGCTTTTGAGTCGACTCAAAAGATTCACTATGAGACCAGATCCCCAGGTGTGTCGATGTAAAAACTGTGTGTAATGAGTCTGCTCTAGAGTCGACTCAAAAGATTCAATATGAGAGAGCAGATCCCCAGGGGCGTCGATGTAAAAACTGTGTGTAATGAGTCTGCTTTTGAGTCGACTCAAAAGATTCACTATGAGACCAGATCCCCAGGTGTGTCGATGTAAAAACTGTGTGTAATGAGTCTGCTCTAGACTCGACTCAAAAGATTCAATATGAGAGAGCAGATCCCCAGGGGCGTCGATGTAAAAACTGTGTGTAATGAGTCTGCTTTTGAGTCGACTCAAAAGATTCACTATGAGACCAGATCCCCAGGTGTGTCGATGTAAAAACTGTGTGTAATGAGTCTGCTCTAGAGTCGACTCAAAAGATTCAATATGAGAGAGCAGATCCCCAGGGGCGTCGATGTAAAAACTGTGTGTAATGAGTCTGCTTTTGAGTCGACTCAAAAGATTCACTATGAGACCAGATCCCCAGGTGTGTCGATGTAAAAACTGTGTGTAATGAGTCTGCTCTAGAGTCGACTCAAAAGATTCAATATGAGAGAGCAGATCCCCAGGGGCGTCGATGTAAAAACTGTGTGTAATGAGTCTGCTTTTGAGTCGACTCAAAAGATTCACTAGGAGAGACCAGATCCCCAGGTGTGTCGATGTAAAAACTGTGTGTAATGAGTCTGCTCTAGAGTCGACTCAAAAGATTCAATGAGAGAGCAGATCCCCAGGGGCGTCGATGTAAAAACTGTGTGTAATGAGTCTGCTTTTGAGTCGACTCAAAAGATTCACTATGAGACCAGATCCCCAGGTGTGTCGATGTAAAAACTGTGTGTAATGAGTCTGCTCTAGAGTCGACTCAAAAGATTCAATATGAGAGAGCAGATCCCCAGGGGCGTCGATGTAAAAACTGTGTGTAATGAGTCTGCTTTTGAGTCGACTCAAAAGATTCACTATGAGAGAGCAGATCCCCAGGTGTGTCGATGTAAAAACCGTGTGTAATGAGTCTGCTTTTGAGTCGACTCAAAAGATTCACTATGAGACCAGATCCCCAGGTGTGTCGATGTAAAAACTGTGTGTAATGAGTCTGCTCTAGAGTCGACTCAAAAGATTCAATATGAGAGAGCAGATCCCCAGGGGCGTCGATGTAAAAACTGTGTGTAATGAGTCTGCTTTTGAGTCGACTCAAAAGATTCACTATGAGACCAGATCCCCAGGTGTGTCGATGTAAAAACTGTGTGTAATGAGTCTGCTCTAGAGTCGACTCAAAAGATTCAATATGAGAGAGCAGATCCCCAGGGGCGTCGATGTAAAAACTGTGTGTAATGAGTCTGCTTTTGAGTCGACTCAAAAGATTCACTATGAGACCAGATCCCCAGGTGTGTCGATGTAAAAACTGTGTGTAATGAGTCTGCTCTAGAGTCGACTCAAAAGATTCAATATGAGAGAGCAGATCCCCAGGGGCGTCGATGTAAAAACTGTGTGTAATGAGTCTGCTTTTGAGTCGACTCAAAAGATTCACTATGAGACCAGATCCCCAGGTGTGTCGATGTAAAAACTGTGTGTAATGAGTCTGCTCTAGAGTCGACTCAAAAGATTCAATATGAGAGAGCAGATCCCCAGGGGCGTCGATGTAAAAACTGTGTGTAATGAGTCTGCTTTTGAGTCGACTCAAAAGATTCACTAGGAGAGACCAGATCCCCAGGTGTGTCGATGTAAAAACTGTGTGTAATGAGTCTGCTCTTGAGTTGACTCAAAATACTCACTATGAGAGACCAGATCCCTAGGTGCGTTCACATTGCCGGGTGTTTAACACACTCCCCAACGTTTTCATGACTCTAAGTAAGCTGACATATTCAACGAAGTTCTTGTCTCACGTGATTGCACAAAATAGTCGAATATGATTGTTATCGATTGCACGTTTCATTCTGATTGCCACTCATGTAGTGCACAGCCATGAATCTATGAGCAGTAGTGCATCACCATGAATCTACTGCTCCATCGCTCTGTCTCAGGCGCTACTTCTTCCTCAAACACACGGCCATTCTTCCCCCCGAGCCCAGCAACACCAAGGCTGCTCTCGCCCTCTCAGCACTGGAAACAATTCCTCACACTTTTCTATAAGAAACTGTTTTTCCTTTATTGCGTTGCAGGCACTACTTCCTCAAAGACACGGCCATATTACTCCCCGAGCCCAGCAACACCAAGGCTGCTCTCGCCCTCTCAGCGCTCGCCCAGGCCATGGAAGCTTCTGAGAAGGTGGCCATCGTGCGGTTTAAGCTCACCAACCGAGCGGACTCGGGCGTTGCGATTGGCGCGCTGACCCCGTGGTGCCGAGGGAGAAGAGGATTTTCAGAAGTGGAAGATGTGTCTGTGGTGAGTGCTTGCATCACTGCATGCATCCTGCTCGCCGTGGGAAGGTAGCCATTGTGTGGTTCAACCTCACGAACCGAGCGGACCCGGGCGTTGCCATTGGGGTGGTGACCCCCTGGTGCAGAGGAAGTAGGGGACTCAGACACGAGGAGGATTTGGCTGTGGTGAGTTCACGTGCTGCAATCGGGGTGCTGACCGCCTGGTGCAGAGGCATGAGGGGATTACAGCAGGAGGAGGAAGTCTTTGTGGCGAGTTTGTGCAGCATTTCATGCATCCTGCGCGCCGTGGGAAGGTGGCCGTCATGGGTTCAATCTCACCAACCGAGTGGACTCAGGGAGGGGTTTCTTTCAGCGTGCTGAACAGAAGGTGCAGAGGGAATAGGGGATTCGGTGAGGAGGTTCTTGGTGCAGAGGGAAGAGATGACTCGGTTTTTTTAAATCCCCAAAAACCAACTTGTAATGTTGTTGTTTTTTTTCTTTTTTTTCTTTCTTCTTCCTTTGTTTGTTTGTTTGTTCGTTTGTTTCTTTTGCGGAAACAAATCACAAGGAAGATGGAGCTGTGGTGAGGTTGTTCCACAAGGGACTCTTCTTGACTGTACTATGTCGTAATTTCACTTGCTGCTGTGTTGTTCAGAAATATGCAGTCATCAAGATTGTGTTGTTTTGTTCCCTATACTTGTGCTGTTGTATTCTATGATTTCTGATATCATACTTCCCCAAATTCTTCAGCCTGATTTGCGATTTCAACACTCTCCAATTCATTCAGCACATTCGAGAGCTCTCGTGGTTATTCTCTCTTCTTGAGGCTCCGCAAAAATAGACTCCTCAACCTGGACATTAGAGAGCCCTCGTAGTTATTCTCTCTTTGTGAGGCACCTCATAAATAGATCCCTCATTCAGCACATTAGAGAGCTCTCATGGTTATTCTCTCTGTAAGACCCCTTCATCCCTCTCCCCCCCCTTTCTCCCTCTCCCACCGTCTTTCCCCCCAATTTTGTCAGCCGGATCTGCTGGTTTTCAACGCTCTCCCTTGCAGCAAAGACATCAGGGAATTCTCCCTTCCAACAAAGAACCATCCCCAACTCCCTCCCCTCCTGCCCCCCCCCCCCCCACCCCGCCCCACCCCTGAATCCTCAGCCGGATCTGCTGGTTTTCAACACCCTCCCATTCAGTGAAGACATCAGGGAGTTCTCCTTCCCTTCCCTACAAGCCGCTCCAGCCAACCAGCAGCCGACACCTGTCCAGAGCAGCGCAGCAGCAGCACTGGTGCAGGCGATGTCTCTAGGGCGGCGCAATCAGGAGGGGGAGGAGTACAGGGAGAAGGAGTATAAGCAGGGGAAAGAGGCGTGGGATGAGAAGCTGAGACCAGACGACACACCTAGCCCGGCACTGCAGGTATGCCTTGGCTGGATGTGTCCTGGGATTTACACACTCGGCCCGGCACTGCCGGTATACGCTCCTCTTCTGTAGGGTGAAGCAGCAACACAAGGAGAGCAAAGCGGCGTGGGATGAGAAGCTGAGACCAGAGGACACACCCAGCCCGGCACTGCAGGTAGTACACTTTCCGTCTGCACTGTCATGGTTTTCCAATGCACTGTCATGGTTTTTCAATGCACTGTCATGGTTTTCCAATGCACTGTCATGGTTTTTCAATGCACTGTCATGGTTTTTCAATGCACTGTCACATCTGCTTCAATGCGTGTCATGAAGGCACTTCCTTTAGCCCACCCAGTCGTCTCCTGCTCTGAAGAACCCTCTCACGTGTGCATTTGTCCCTCCCCACCTCCCACCCCCCCTTTCCCCTTCTGCCCCCCCACCCCACTTCCCCCCGCCCCCCCCTCCCCCCCCCCATCCCCACCCTACCCCCCCTTTGCTCCTCCACAGCACTACTACAATTTCATCCGCACAAGGATTCTCAATCCCAAGGCGCCACTGCCGCCTCTCCCTCCCTCCCTCGACGCCCTCCTCTCCCACCCCCTCTCCACCGACCATCCTGCCGCCCAGTCATTCGCTGCTGCCTTCCCTGCCCTCGCTGATCGCACTGCGGTGAGTTGAAGCATAGTGAGTCGTAGTGCCTTGAGTGCCAGGAATGGGAAGGTTGTAGCAGAAGCTGTAGCATAGAAAGCCCTCCTCTCCCACCCCCTCTCCCCACTGACCATTCTGCTGCTCTGACCTTAGCTGCTGCCTTCCCCGCCCTTGCCCATCGCACAGCGGTGAGTTGAACCAGGTTGAGTGGTGACTTAGATGTCAGCGTATGATCCCATCGCCGCCCAGCCCTTTGCTGCTGCCTGTCGTGCCCTTGCCAAACCCCATTATGTCACTGCTCTCGTTGGCGTAGAACAGGCACTCTACTGTTTGTTTGTCAGCCCCTCACCACCCCTTCATGTTGTAGGTGATTTTTAGAATTCTCAAAAATCACTTACTAGAACGGACACTACTGTTTGTTTGTCAGTCCCCCACCATCCGGTTGCGCAATCAGCCTATTTCGGGGCAGCCTGTACAACTATCCCAGGCAGAGCCTTCTTAAGTGGAGCCTGCACCAGTTGCACCTGTCACAATCAAGCCGCGTTTGTACCTACCCCTCACCACCCCCCATGTGTGATCATCCTCTATCGCAGGAGCCTGTGCAAATGTCACAACAGGCAGAGCCTTCCCGAGTGGAGCCTGCGCCAGTTGCACCTGTCTCATCCAAGCCACTTCTGTTTCCTACCCCTCAATACTCCCCATGGGCAACCAGCCTCTCTCGCAGGAGCCTGTGCAAGCGTCACAACAGGCAGAACCTTCCCAAGTGGAGCCTGCACTAGTTGCACCTGTCCCACCCAAGCCAGGTTTTCCTGAGGCCAAGGAACAGAATGGCGAGCCTAGCACAGGGCCTTCAGGGGTAACCAGCACTGGCCCATCTGGTGTAACCAGCTTAGGACACTGATAGTAAACAACTGAAAAGTTGCCATCATATGTTTCAAGAGAAACAGCCTCGGCCCATCTGGTGTAACTGTAGAAGTGAACCCCGTCTTTAGGGTGGCCAGGATATAGATTTGGTGGAACCACGAGTACCGTAATCCCCCGTATATAACACACTATGGTGTATTTAAAAATCCACTAAAAAAATGACGGGGTCTTAACAGTGGTCCGGAAAAATAAACTGCCCATGTGTTATGTAAAATGCAATTTGAATTTGAATGTTCCAGGCCATGTTAGCTCAACTGCGCGGAGCGGCTGTTAACGAGGCATATCATCCGCTGAGATGAAACTTACGAACCTGGCGTCATTGGCCAATCCCTGCTGAGTGCTGTGGTCTGGGCCAGCTTCGTGCCGCACCTGCGACCGTCAAGACCTGAGAGGATTTAGATCGGGAGGATTTTGACCGTCAAATCACAGCAGAATCCTCCCAAATCTCAACCTTCGCTGACGTTTCCATTTCGCACTGCAACTTTTGTTGATTCTTCTGCCCGTTTTTTTCGCTGCTAATGGTAGTTGACATTGCATTTTTCATCCTGCTTGTTTTTTTCAATCGAGAGGAGCTTGAAAAACGACGGAATACTGTTCTTTGCTGCATAAAACGAGCAGGGTGTTATGTAAAATGCAACCCCCGAAAAGCGGGTGCTCTCCTAAATGCACCCTATCATAAGCTCTCCCCTGCATAAACCACCCACAAAGTGACTATTTCGGCGGGTGTTATATACGGGGGATTACGGTAAAAGTCAGCGGAAGACTTTACACATTGTATTGGAAATTGTCAAGAGAGCTAGGTAGCTAGGAATGGTAGGAAGCCATGAAATGGCGTGAGGGTTTAGCTAGGAGAAAGTTGACGAGAGAAAAGGGGAAGAGAATAGAAGAGAGAGGCATACAAGGAGGGGGGGTTGTACCATCTACAGTAGGTTTCAATAACACCTACCAAGCCTACCAATTATATAACAAAATATATAATTTAACACACCCCCTAGGCTTGGTAGTAGAAGAACCCACACACACCCACACCCCCTAACCTAGCCCGCCCTTTCCCAGCAGCAGCCGCGATGACTCCGGAATTGGTCAACACCCACGGCCCGGGAGATGGCAATGGCGGCAGTCGCGGCAGTGACGAGAGCGACGGCGGCGGCGGCGTGCGGCGGCAACAGGCCAACGGCAACAGCGGAGGCGGCGGCGGCTTCAACGTCAGAGGCGAGTGCAGCGGCCCCCGCTCTCTCGGCGGCATGGCCAATCTCATCGGCTGTGGAGAAGGCCCTCACGAGGCAGTCAACGGCTGTGGCAAGGAAGAGGGGACGCAGGGGAAGGAGGAGGGGCGGGGCGGGGCGTGGTCCAGAATCACGCCAGTGGCTGGCGAGCGGGCGGCAGGTCTAATGGCGCCACAGGCGTTGCACGGCCGGCTGCAGCCCGACGACGCCGTCACAGAGCGGCGTTGATGCAGCGGTGGGACGGCGACGCTGCGACGGCAGCACGACGGCGTCGTCACGCCGCCACGGCTGGACGTCGACGCCACGACGGCGGAACGCCACGGCGCGCGTCGAGACGGCCGCGGCACGACGGCGCCGCCACAGCAGCACGACGGCGCCGTCACACCGCCACTGCTGGACGTCGGCGACGCCGCCACGGCTGGACGTCGACGCCACGACGGCGCGATGCCACGGCAGCGCGTCGGGACGGCCGCGGCACGACGCGGACAGCGGCACGACGACGCCGCCACAGCAGCACGACGCGGCCGCCATGGCAGCGCGAGAGGGAGAGAAGGAGTGCGCGGTGGAAGCGTGGGGAGAAAGCCTGGGAAGGGGAACCTGTTGTGATACCATGTCAAGAGAGCTAGGTAGCTAGGAACGGTAGGAAGCCATGAAATGGCGTAAGGGTTTAGCTAGGAGAAAGTTGACCAGAGAAAAGGGGAAGAGAATAGAAGAGAGAGGCATACAAGGAGGGGGGTTGTACCCTCTACAGTAGGTTTCAATAACACCTACCAAGCCTACCAATTATATAACAAAATATATAATTTAATAGAAATCTCAGAAATGACAAGGATAATAACAATGAGTAATACATGCATATTTATAGTCTAGGAAGCACCTATTCGAAATGTACCTGTTCGTAGTGTATCGCGACTATTCGCGTGACATGACTAGTGACTCTTCGTGTGACTGAGAGTGGCGTGACCCTTCGGGTGGCTATACAGCGGATATGCCATTAGGTCCATGACATTGTACTCCATATAATACTCTAACGTCCGTAATTCAATAGGATCCACTACGATGTACTCCGTCTGTACGGTATACATCTACTGTTAGACTTCGCTAAAAAAACACAATAAACATAGTGACCAGTCACGACAGTCGCATAATGCCACCGACCATCGACTCGCGCCACCCGAATTGGGCGCGATTTCAGCATGCGAGCGTCGCCAACCAACCCGCGAGTGCGAGCTCGGAAAATCCCAGTGAATTGTGTTTGGTATTGCCCAGCCAATACGTGCTTGCTAGGGCGATGCTACGTAATCACGACGGACCGGGGGGGCGAACACAAAATCACAGACAGCCTGCTAGTACCCCCGTCCACCTGGCACTTTTGCATGCGCGCTGGCATGGGCATGCCTACCTAACCCATTTTCATCCATTCTGTCTTACGATTACGGTCCTATTCTAATCCTCGTGTCAAGAGCATTCGAGGCGTTTTTCATTTTTTAGAACCAATCACGTAAATATTCAGGCTTCCCGTGTGACACGAACAGGTCCGTCCCGAATACGAAAACACGACCCTCGTTCCCTCAATCACCATTAACAACTGCACATTTCGAAAATGATTTTCTCAAGGGGGTCTTTTTCGCTTTCGTAAAAACGTGTGGTTGGTTAACGAAACCGCTCAATTAAGCCGTCAAAATTTCGTCCCGTTTAGCCATTTTCGTGAGACCACGAAAAGGGTTTTCCAGATTATTTGTTTTGCGTTTTGAGCCTGCGTTGCTTGTGGGAAGGTCGAGAACGAGGTGTTACTTTTTTTGTCTGCGTGATTCTGACCAGACGACAAATTCGCTGAGCGTTTTTGAAGAGGCCACATGAGCCCTCACATAACACGCGGCGAAATCGCTGGTAACCTGGCCCAAGTGGCCAATACGCCACGGCACTCATCGTGAACAAAACGAGTAAAACGGCCTACGCCACCCCACCTAAGATCCCTCGTGCTACTCTATTATCCAGTTTGCCCGTTGCATACCGCTCCTATTCGTCGTAGTCCATATTTGCGAGTCGCGGATTTGGAGCATAGAGCATACCCGCTGTACGCGCGAACCAACTGTTCACGCGTTGACTCACTACTGCTGACGTCATCACGTGCGTCCTTCCATATGAGGTAACGCGCTACTACTACGTAACTCTTCTTCGCAAGTGTTTCTGCATACTTGCTTGCAGAAAGATAGATGGCATGTTTAACCCAAGAAATTGAGTGACGTTTGGAGAAATGATCACTTCAAGAATCGTTTGGATTCTATTCTCCATGTGTGCCAGAAGACAGTTGCACGAGCCGGTGTACAGCAAGTCGTCCACGTAGGCAACTAGAAGAATGTAGTGTCCCCGAAATTCTAGTTTGTACATTCCGGGATCGTGGGGCGGCTGTACGAAGTCGAGTGAAACCAGGACCTTGTGAAGAGTGACTTAAGTAATTTGCAGATGTGAAGTCCGCCGTCGTAAGTGTGAGGGAGTTCGATGAAAATATCAGCATCGACGTCTGCGTATAGAAACACATTTTTAACATCCAGTTGGCGAAGTGGAAGGTGGCAGCTGGCAGCGATGGCGAGAAGAATTCGCACTGAGGTATGACGGCTGACCGGAGCAAAAGTCCGGTCGTAATCGATGCCGTGGGTTTGTTCGAAACCTCGAACGACCCATCTCCCCTTGAATCTGTCTGGTTCGCCTGCTGCATTTGTCCTTATGCGAAAGACCCACTTGCCCGAAAGTTTTTTCTTGTCGCGTGCTGCTTCGCGTGCAACGAGTTTCCACGTTTTCTGCTTCCCGAGAGCTGCTACCTCTGCATCCATAGCTGCGTGCCACTTGTTAGCATCAGAGCCGGAGAGGGTCTGCTTCATTGTTTTCGGTTCGATTCCGGTCGTTGGTTGCTGAACTGCGACAGCAAGTCTGAGGATTTGAGGAGCCGATTGGTCACCACCAGGATGAGGTTGGCAAACTTCGACGACGTCATCATCGTCGATTTTGGATGGCAGATGGCAGGCACCGTCATGTGATGCTGCATCAGTTTTCTGTCTGCGCAGGTGCTCCTCATAATTATGGGCAGCCTGTGTCGTGGCCGGACGCAACTGGTTCGAGAGGGGAATGAAGAGCGGGGTTTCTGTGTTGTTGGCACGTGTCGAAGGAATATATGAGTCGAACAATTTTTCGGCTGCTGATGTAGACTGCTGCAGGACTGTAGAAGGTCCTGCTGCTGCGCTATCGGGCGGATAATATTCTTCGGCTGCATCTGCTTTGTTTTGAGCAGTGGCGAAACTCCGTTCGGCGCTGTAGCGATCAGGATCCCGTTGCTGGAGTTCCTTGTCGCGTTCGAAGATATCGAGATTTTTTTTTTCTCGTAGAAGATGCAGTCTTGGGCATACAAAACCTTTAGAGTTTTGTAATCCATAATTATCTAGGAATGTGAGTCTTAGGGTACACCAAGATGTATTCCCCAACGAGCCCGTTCAGTAAATTTGCCCACAGTTGCGCTCGAAGGTCTGTATTGGACCATGCAACCCCAAACTCATAAAAGTCGAGTGTCGGCGGGGTGTTTTGTCCACATGACGTGTGGCGAGCTGAACCGAGGAAGAGCTGTTGAAGACAAGCAGTTGTGTAGGCGGACAGCTTGCGCCATCGCAAATGGCCAAAAATATGTTGTCAAGCTGGACTGTTGCAGCAGCACGCGCATCTTCTCTTGCAGCATTTCGTTAGTTCTCTCAGCTACTCCATTCTGCTGATGGGCATAAGGCACTGTCTTCCACCTGAGTATCCCTTTCCGCGCCAGGAATTCATCGAACTTGTACACGCCCGCAAAGTTTGTCTGGATCTCTTTCAGCTTGATGCGGCTCTGTCGCTCCGCGATTTTCAGCCATAGTTTGAAGGCGTCAAGAGCTTCAGACTTGTGAGAGATATTCTTATG